TATTTGCCTTGTTCTGTTTAACGTCCCTCTGGTGTAATTTCTCCATAAACATCATCTATAGATCTATCAGTATTAATTAATTTAATCAATATTTAGTGTAATTAGGTTTTCACCCATTACAGATTTACTCATAATTATTCACTCGTTTTGCACTAAAAAATATTTATTTTTTCTAAATGTGGTCTAATGTGATATTTGTACTCTGTGTAGCCCTCAGTCTCACTGGTGGGTCAAACTGACCGAACATTATGTGTGCGATATAAACGTGCAGGGGGGAGCTGAAAACACGTTAAATTAGTCATTATCTATTCATATGTTAATTATTATGTAAATTAGTTCAGCCCAGCAGAAAATATTACACACTCCAAATTTTATTCAAAATGTTTCCCTGTATTTTTTAACTTTGACCCGAAGCGTAACAGGAAAGTTAAGAGAAAGATTCGAACTTTTATTATGTTCATTTTTACCGGGAGCGAAACGCTTTTAATTTGAAAACACCCCTCACAGGGACACGGGATGATTGACAGGTACCGGCTGCGAGGGGCGGGACGGTGGGCTCCCAGCGCTGCCATTGGCTCGTTTTGTTTTGCGGGCAGCCAGTGAGAGACCAGAGCGGGCAGCCAATCAGAGCGCCTTCAAGAGTCGTAACGGCGCAGGCGCAGAGATTTGAAAACAGAGACTCAGACGGAGAAGCAGAGCGGGTCAGTGAGGGATGATTGGGGATGAGTGAGGACGAAAAACGGGATTAATTCAGTCCTTTATTCACTCAGGCTGAGTTAATCTGCCGGGTTATTTAGCTCTGAGACTGTTTATCGGTCTAAACTTCCTCCTCCTGAACGTCGTCACAGTGAGCGGAGCTGTAACTGCGGTCAGTTCGGTGCTGCAGCGCTGATAAAGCCGGACTGTGTTTCTCAGCGAAGCCGCTTAAAGCCTCTTCATCTCTCCTTCATCGCTCACAGCGCTCGGAGTCTGTCTGAGGACTGAAATCAGGAGCGTTAAACTGGACCGGAGCGGAGCTTCAGCAGCTGCAGTTCGTCTCTGAGGTAAACAGCGCCGCTCGGCCGCTGTAATCCGGCGGAGATGTGGAGATTCCTGTAAAAAGTTCTGTGAAACCCGTTTAGCTGTTAGATGCGATGATCCGCGGTGAGAAGACACTTCTAAACACTCGCATTATACCGAGCTGAAGGCCGCTTCCTGATCCAATTCTCCCAGTCCACCTTAAAAGGAGCAGCGGTTAGTGTTACAACAGCAGGCAGCCGGAAAGGAACCGCTGAAATTTTCCCGGTCCACCTTAAACGATTCGAATTTTCTCCTTCCACTTCAAATTGTACAGCAGTTACACCAGAATAGCTACTGCACCGTTTAAGGTCGAATTTTCCCGTTCCACCTTAAGTAGTGCAGGAATTATTATTATAGCGCTTCAGCAGCCAGAATGTAACTCGTGGGATTTTCCTTTTCCACCTTAAATTGTCCGAATCCCCCCCCGTCCACCTTAAATGGTGCAGCAGCTACATTAGAATAAATCTTACAGCGTTGTTTAAGGTAGAATGTTCCTGTTCCACCTTAAAACATAAAGCCGTTAGGTCAGAATGTAACTGCCACATCATTTAAACTGGAATTTTCCCCTTCTACCTTAAACAGTTCGAAATTTCATGTTCTACCTTAAATGGTCCAGCAGTTACACCAGAATGGTGCTGATGCGTTGTTTAAGATATAATTCCCCTGTTCCACCTTAAATAGTAAGGTAGTTATTTTCAGCTTTTCAGGTAGTCAGAATGTTAACAGCTGCACTGTTTAAAGTGGAATGTTCCTTTTCCACCTTAAATAGTTTGAATTTTCCCATTCCACCTTAAATGGTGCAGCAGTTAGCTACACAACAACAACAGCTGCTGTAAATGTGGAATTTTCCTGTTCCACCTTAAACGGTTCCAATTTTGCACTTTCACCTCAAACGGTGCAGCAGTTACGTTCTACATTCCTGTCAGAACCCTTTTTGGTGCTCTATAGAACCACATAATACACTGAAGAACCATATCACCATGCAGAGAACCGTTTAAGCGTGCACATGGTTCTTTGGGTGTTTACGGCTCTAAGTGCCTTCACTAAATAACCCTTGAAGAACCATCTTAATCAGTGTCTACAAGTACTGATGTGTACAATATGTTCAGGAAAGCAGACTGTGCTGGGATAACAGTGTACATTATCGCTGACCGTGTGTGTCAATGACAGTTTTTAAAAACCTTATTAAAAAGGATATTATGTCCATTTTTATAGCTGCATATTCACTGAGCACTTCATTAAGTCCACCTCCTTGTTTCTACACTCACTGTCCACTTTTTTAGCTCCACTGACTGCATAGTTTCACTTTGTAGTTCTACAGTTACAGACTGTAGTCCATCTGTTTCTCTGCATACTTTGTTAGCCCCCTTTTACCCTGTTCTTCAGTGGTCAGGACCCCCATGGACCCTCGCAGAGCAGGTACTATTGGGTGGTGGATCATTCTCAGCACTGCAGTAACACTGACGTGGTGGTGGTGGTGTGTTAGTGTGTGTTGTGCTGGTCTGAGTGGATCAAACACAGCAGTGCTGCTGGAGTGTTTAAATACCTCAGTGTCACTGCTGGACTGAGAATAGTCCAACTACCAAAAATATCCAGCCAGCATCGTCCTGTGGGCAGCGACAGATGAGCTGTCGTCTTTGACTTTACAGAGAGGAGTGTCTGATAGAGTGGACAGTGAGTGGACACAGTGTTTAAAACCTTGTACCAGACTAATTTCAGATTAAACGGGCATCTACTCAGACATCCAGAGAAACCTGATCTGATCTGATGGAGTGAAAATCTGCAGCTCTGGTTTTGAGAATAAAGTGTGTTTATTGGGTCAAAGTGTTTTTTTTCTTCACTGTCCTTTATGAATTTGTGCCACTAACGACTCTAAATGTCTTTCTCAGACAGTGATGGCGCTGCATCCGGCCAAGAGAGAGGCGCTGGTGGCGTGGGTGAGTCTGTTCTTCTGTTCTTATTGATCTGACTGAACTGTCAATCAAACGCCCTGATCAGATGTTCGATAACAGGTTCAGTATCAATAATAAACCACCGTCAGCAGGCAAAGCCAGACATCTGTGTGCAGCCTATTAAAGGGGGTGGGGCTTATGCGTCTGTGTACACCCTATCATAGTAAAGGACGGTGCTTGGGTGTCTGTGTGCAGCCTATCAGAGTAGAGTGAGTGGGTAGGGGCGTGGCCTATCCAACTAAGTTCACTCTGTCCATTTGTGTATTGTGTAGTTACACTGTTCTAAACTTTAATACATGAAATATTGAAAACCGTCAGAAGTCAAAACCTGAAAGTGTGTGAGTGTGCGTGCGAGTGTTTAAATGGCCTAATGTTTAACGTTGTAAATGGTGTTCCTGCTGCAGGTGAACAGTCTGGACCTGGGCGAACGTGTGGAGAGATTCGCTGACCTGCAGGATGGCCGGCTGCTCCTAAAACTCACCTATAAACTGTGAGTTCAGTCACTCACAGAACTGCTGGCTTACAGCCTTTTATTATACGGCTGATTTATTGTTTCCTGAAAATGCTTTCAGTTGGTGAAACTCAGACCAGAGCACGAAAACTGGAGCAGTGAATTTGGAAAAATGTTGCTTATCATTATTACTGTTAATAGTATAGTATTAATATATATATTAATTTATAGTATAGTAGTCGTAGTGATAACGAGTGAAGAGAAGTTGGTGTGTATTATAACATAACCTTTGATATTTTAAACTCATTGTAAAATATAAACTTATTACTGAGTCAAAAATGTAATATGGGTGAAGATTAATCTACTTTATTTAAATTAACATTTCCTTTTGTTGGAACCGTTAATTGATTTATTATAAAACGGGTAGTTCCGGTCGTAAAATCTGATTGGCGAGTCAATTCTGTATCACTGCGCCACGGCATTAAAAACCCCCTCTGCTGTTAATGGATCACCTTTGACTCTAACGCTGATCCACGAAGCACCGAGTGTGCTGTTGAAGTAAGAACCCGGTTCTGTTTAAACTGAGAGGCTGATAGCTTCTGTTCTTATCTAGAAGCTGGTCAGTTAGCTGACAGGCTAAAAGATAGCAAACATGCTAAACAGCTCCATCATTAATATCACAGGCTTGAAATAAAGTACTTACGGTCTGATTTACTGTAAAACTGCAGTATAAAAGTCTAAAAATGTCACTTGAATGTTTTACACACTTCAAATGTCCATGTTTCAGTCAGAAGTCACGTCAAACCCAGACTGAGTCCCAAAACGGCTCTGTACTCCCTAAATAGTGTTCTAGCTATGAAAGTTTAGAAATTCTAGCCTCTACAGCCAAACAGTGCCTCATTTATCGAGTGTAAGTCCCAAATGACTGCAACACCGTGCTCTAAAGGAACTACATTTCTTGGCAGGATACTTTTTTATGTTGAGTATTATTAATTAAACCTTTTATCGTTTTTAGAAAATAATTTATCATTCTTCATGTTGGCCGTTTGTATAAACGCAATAAGCCACTTGAGGTTGTGCGTTGGATTTTATTTACTTCGCTTCACGTTGTGCCTAAGAACACCCACCTCGTGGTAAAACCACAGTGATGCATGGCCTCTCGAGGCTTATTGATTTATTAAAACACCCATGGAAACTTGAATGAAGCATGTTAGCATCCGATTGCTAATCTTAGCTTGCACTGCACTAGCTTCATGAGAAAGCTTTGAGAGTTGAAAAGGGATGAGGAGGTTGCTGAAAGGTGACGGGTATCGGCCCCAAAATACTGATTAGAAAATGTGTTCATTGAGGCACATCAGATGTCTTGGGCCGTGTTCACACTGCCAGCCCAAATCTAATATTGGCAGATCCAGATTGATTTTTGATGGTCTGGACAGCAAATAAACCACATGAACTCTGATTTTTGCCAGTCAGATCCAAACAACATTTGCAGATGTGTCTCAGTCTGGACGCTCAAATCAGATTTCAGAGTGTCTTTTTCGTCACTCACAACACAACAAACAGCGACAGTGTCAAATCCAGAGTGATGAAGTGCTGGGATTCAGGAAGAGCTCCAAAGATTTATGATTATGAAGAGAGTTCTGAAGAGTTTGGAGGGGAGATGATGCTCCACCATCTCTCCTGCATCTGTGTTTGAAATCCGCATCACCAGCGTGGCTACATAGTTACTGATGCCCACATAGTTACTGACAGCCACGTTGTTACCACCGCAACCCATGCAGATAGACTGGTGATGTCTGGACACACACATCTGATCTGATCACTCAAATAACAGAGTGGACAGTCGCCTCAAAAGACTTGATTTGAGAAACGAATCCGATTCGCCTGCAGTCTGAACACCTGAAGGTGTAATTTGTACTGGTTCCTGTGGAGAATCACTCAGTAATGTTTGTTTATTTGAGCGGGTTCTGTCGTCAGTTGGCAGTGAGCCAGCTAATCAGCTGATTTGGCCACTTTAGGCCTTTAATAGTTCCATGCAATTAATGATCAGCTAAGTCACGATTGTGACAGTTGTTGCTTTATATACTCCAGGATGTGTCTGCAGGGTAAATAACTGTTCTGTCCCCTGATTGGTTCCTGTAGGAAGGGGGAGGAGCCCAGCCAGGCTCCTGTAGACCTGCCCCAAGAACAGAGATGGTCCATCGTCTCTGATTTCCTCCACGGTGCGTTTCAGAGCTGCGTTTCTGATCTTCTGTTTGTGTTCTGATGGTGAAACTGAGCTGAAGTGAAGAATCTTTTCCTCCTGCAGGCGTCTGTCAGGAACAGCTTGTTCTTCCCTCAGGAGAACCCACCTCCAACAGAGAACAGCTGGAGCTCCAGCTCGCCAAGGTTTGTTTGTTTGTGTTTCTGACCAGGTCAGTTTATAGATCACTGCACTGCTTTAGCTAAAGTAAACTTGCAGCTGGCTTTAATAGGAGGATTATGATAAATATACAAAACTTTGGAATGTGTTTTCAGGAGTTGTGAATTTAAATAGATTTGTGAATTTAAATAGATTTTGGGGGATTTTTTTTTTAAGTAAAAAAACACTTAAATATGAAACTTTAGCTTGTTTCAATGTACAGCATGCTGAATTTAAGCAAATCTGAGATGAAAGTTTTGCACACTATTTTTATTCCTCATCATTTCAAGTTAATAAATAGTAGCTTTGCAATTTGTGTTTGCAAATGTGTAATTTGGTGGATGGTGACAAGACGTTTTCATATGACTGTGTGTGGAGCTCACTGTGTCTGTTTGTGTGCAGGTGGTTCTGCTGCTGTGCTACATCGGTCTAATTAACAACAAGCTGGTGCCTAAAGCTGAGTTTGAGACGGAAGTGAGTTTATATGCAGTTTTTAAGCAGTTTAATTCAGATTCTTTGTTCACACTGCAGTTTAATTCAGATCCTTTGTTCACACTGGAGATTAGTTCAGATTCTTTGTTCACACTGCAGATTAATTCGTCTGTTCACACTGCAGGTTGATTCAGATTCTGTGTTCACACTGCAGTTTAAATCAATGTACACTTAGCACTGATTTACAGTCCTTGCTGTGATTCATGACTGAGGTGTTTCACATCTGTAGCCTGATAGGCTACCTTAATGTTAGCTTAGCAGCTACACACCCAGACAGCGCCGCCCTTCACAGCACAGGCTTGGTTCTGAAACGTGGTGCTCTGATGATGATGAATGTAGCTGAAGGTTCTTTGGAGAGAGATTAGTTAACAGGCCAAACATGCCACACTGCAGCACGGCGTAGCTAACTGATGCTAAAATAACACCCATTTGGTGGAAAGCGTGAAGTCCGGTGACTCGAGCTGAAGTGGAATGTGTTCTGCGGTATGTGTGTGCAGATGGTTCTGATGCGTGTAGCTTGTAGTCGTGGCTGAGCTGTTTTTTCTGGCTCTGATTTACCCCCTTTTTGTTTTAGCGCCACCTGTTGATGAGCTCCTACACCTCCAATCAGAGAAAATGAAAGGGTGCCGTGTGTTTATCTGTTCAGATATGGAATAGAAGTTGGACATTTCATCATAATTTTAAATGTCTTTTTTAAAATGCGGTCATCATTTTTACATACTCCAGGATACCTTATCACCAACATACAGCCTTTACTATCAGTGCTTTTAAATAATGAAAATAATCTTGTCCTGACGTTTCTCTCTCTCTATCCATCACTCTCTCTTTATCAGCTGCAGATGGCATCAATGTTACGTCATGTCCAGCAAGGGGAGAATGGCTTCTCTCTGTCTGAGGGTCTAGATAAACTTCTCACTGTCAGCCGTAAGTCTTTATTGACCACACTGACTGTCCACCTGTACTGTCTGTTCTCTGTAGGACAGGACAGGGTCATTCAGGGTCAAATCAAGTGTGATGTTCCACTGACCTCGGGTCTAATCAATCATGATATAATCCGTCACGTTTGGAGTCCAGTTTAGCTTCTTCAGTTCAGTTTAATTCAGTTCAGCACTGTGTTTGTCTAAAGAGTCTGCAGTGTTCAGCTACACAGTGAAGGTCAGTTCATGTTTAGAGCTCACAGTGAGTCACACTGTGTCCTAAACCATCTACAATCTGCTCCACCTTCATGAAGACCTGGATGAGTTTTGAGTGGACTGAGAGAAGTTTGGGGGATTTATTTACAGGAAAGATTTGAGTGAGTGACTATTGACTTCTACTGTGAGCTCGAGTAGTCTTGTATCTCCAGCACTAAACTAAAGGAGCTAAATTTGAACACCAAACATGACTCAACTGATCAGGTTTATCTGGAGAAACTGTAAATCTGACTTCCTTTTACCTTTTTATAGAGATTAACCCATCAAATAATGTTTTTAAAGGGGTCATCATACCTTTTAACCACTCTGGTTATAATTTCTTTCTTTCTCTCTCCTCTCAGCGCTGATACACACCTCCTCCAGCAGCAGTGTATCATCTTACAGTGACGAAGGATCACCGTTTTTTACCCGATCTCGTTCTCCACTTGTTTCCTTCCTGGAGCTCAACACTGTGGCCTCCAGCTCTTTTGTTGGGTACTGATCTTCACAATGAAGTCTTCTCTTTTTACTTCTTCTGAAAACAGATCTAAACTCTTTACTGATGAGCATAGGCGATCCAGAATGACTCCAGAGTGAAATCTGATTGTGTTAGTCAAGAATATGGTCTTCTGCTGTAAAGTTCAGAGATGTGAGGTTTTCTTACTGCAGTCATTATACTGTTATGTCAGGTTCTGATTAGTGTTTTGACTGTGTGAGTGTCTCTATTCTCAGCTCTCCAATCCAGGAGATCATAAACACACCGCAGGTCCAGCTGAGGAGGCTTCGGAAGGAGCTGGCGCGCGAGGGTGACGTGAGGGACGAGCTGGAGCGAGAGCTTTCCGAGCACATCTCTACCATCTCTGAGAAGGGTGAATATTTACCTGCAACTACAGTAAAGTTCATCTGCTAATCTACAAAACACAAGCGTTCTGAGGATCAGTGTTTGTTGCGTTGATGTGGATTTTAATGGCTGGGTGTGTAATTTCTCCTCAGGGAAAACCCCAATATGTTAGTGTTTAAATTAAACAGTCCGTTCTCAGGGTAGCTCTATGGTTACACTTGTTTTATCAGTATAGAATGATGAGGGGCTGCAGACGATTTTCACTTAATACACATAAATTATTCTAAATATATTTTTTACATTCTGGTCACTGTTTTCTATATATATATATGCATTAAAGGGTGCCACAACAGTTCTTATTTACTCTTAAGGCCGTTACACAGAAAACCAAAATATTAAATTGTCTTATCTTTTGTTAATTAATGAGTTTATTTTAATGTTGCTGTGCATCACAAATGGACAGAAAATCCTTAAACTGCCTTCACTTCACACAAAACAGAAACTGACAGTGAGCAGGACGGCTTCCGCTTTGGAAAGGAGGTTATTATATAATGGCCTAATTGCAGTTGTTTGAGTTTATCTCCGCTCTTTAAGCTGACCACAGTCATTTTCCACGGTCGTGAGATTTCAGTCATGTCGTGCTGCAACCGTGTGAATTTAGGTGAGGTGTATTGAGGGAAATAAATGTAAATGAATGAAAGCAGTTTATGCTTCACTGAGATGCATCATGATGTCTGTTGTGTGTAATGTTTAGTTTGTTAGCTTTGTAACCAGTTCTGACATTGCTAGCACATATGCTAGCAAGGAGTTTTTGTTTTACATTTACATATTTATTTTTTGACCACTATGTTGGAACAGACCGTATTTCAAAATATTATCAAAAACTGTGAATTCGTATTATATATTATTATACATTGTATTATATATTGTTTGTATTACAACCTTTACACCAGTGCACTAAATCCAGTTGAACAGGACTGAATATGCTCTCTTAGTCAAACATGCAGTTAGCCAGTGCTACTGAAAATATCCACAACATGCCTCAAAGTCATATTGTGACTGTCACAATGATAAATATTGTCCTTGCTCAGCTGTAATTCTCAGGAACAAACGCAGCCTTGCCATGATTGGTTTGAGAGTTCATGTCACAGATGAAAAGAGGGCGATTAAAATGTCACATTTTCGCCATCTGAAAATTTGCGTTTGGTTTGCTAAATGCTTTCAAATAAATATAAATTGTATAAATAAATCTCAAACAGTAAAAAGCCATAAGCTGAATGAGCTTTTTCTGTAAAATCAGGGGAGAGAAATGAAGTTTGCTGAAATGTTTGAAGTGTGGTCGTCTGTAGTGGGGTGGACAATTAATCGTTATGAAAATATGCTTTTCTCAGCATATCATGGGTATCATGAGTACTTAAAGAACACCTGAACTGCATGTTTCATTACAAGCTGTTTAATTTGGCTTGGTGCAGTTTATGAAACATTGAAGAAAGCCGCTGTAGTTTGATGCAGATCACTCACGGTGAAAATGTCTAGAAATGTTGTTATAGATTTTGCTATATTGCCCACCCTTAGTGGTCTCAGAGATTGGGTTATTTTTAGGTGACTTGTGTGGCTAGTGGTGCAAAGTAGGACTGTCCAGTGTGGATTGTACTCAAAGGAAATGCCTGAAAAGGAACTGAAGGTTTGATGTCTTGATTCATTTTTTTTTCTCTCTTTCAGAGGGTCAGATCTCTCAGCTCCAGCACAGACTCCAGCGCTTGCTGAGGGACCAGGAGGAGCTTGAGAAGGAGCATAAATCTGCGCTGCTGGAGCTGCAGCAGAGGAATGAAGGGTCAGGACCACAGAGTCATTCATACGTTTATGCATGTACCTTTTTAAATTTTAGATTAGCAAAGTATGTAGCAAAGGTAACACTTGTACCTGGTTTGTAACAGGGTCCTCAAAAGAGTTCATGAGGTCCTAAAGCAGTGCCAAGATCTAAAAACGGACAACACCCAAAAAGATAGAAGAATTGATGAGCTGATGGAAGAGAATGGAACGCTGGCTGCACAGGTAGGGACTGACTGACTGTGTTCATCTCTTTACTTTCCTGTGTTGGTGTCTGTCTTGCTGCTAATCTGTTTCCATTGTTCATCATAAAAGTGTGCACAAAGTCCAGCGAAACAGATTCATGATGGTCAAACCAGACTGATGTGTTTTATTTTTAAGTTAAACTTTCCCTTTTATTATTACATACAATACTTTTTATCGTACCAACTGAATTACTTTAATATTACAAAGTATTGAAAAATTCTGTGACATTCAGGACCAATTGTATTGGTGTCAAAAATTGTGAGTTTGAGTTTGTCACTGACCTATCTCTGGTAATTACAGGTACGAAATGCTTTTGCCCAGCTGGCACGGGCTGAAGAGGAGGTCTCCAAACTAACAGTGGCCCATGAGTTGTCCCAAGCAGAGTGGGGGAGCAGAAGAGACTCCCTGCAGGAAGAGCTGAGCCAGGCCATCACAGACAGGGTGATTAAACGCTGTGGCTGATTGCTTATTTTTTTCTATGCACTGTGTCCCTCAACATCATCAGTTCTCAAGTAAATTCACAAAGTGCTTGAGAAATGTAGAACACTGTAAATTTTGCTTACATTTATTTATATTTGTAAGTTTATATGTTTTGTTTCCACATCAATGTCCAGGAATGCCTTAGTGAACAGATTCAGATCTTACAAGGCAAGATCTCAGTTTTAGAGGATGAGCTCTCCAAAGTGTCAGTACAACTCCAAGAAAAAGGTGAAGTTCTGGGGCCTGTTATGGAGGTGGGTATTGGTTTAATTTTGATATCTCTGATTAGGAAAACCCAATCATTTAAGCACCACCTTTTTGTTTTAGGTGGATATATGTACATATATGGGTGCAGCAGTAGCCTAAACAAACAGCTTTGTGTGTGTGTTACTATGAAGAATGTTTGGCGTCTTTAATGTTTCTTTTAAACACTTATGTGCATCCTGACAGAGGGAGAAACTGAAGCAGGAACTGGCAGACTTGTCATTAAAACTGTCCCAACTCGAAGAAACCATTTCCCGCCTCCAGAAAGAAAAGATAGATGTTGAGGTGATGTTGTCAGAAGAGAGAAGCTCTTTTGAAAGGGAAACCTTGCGATTGCAGGGATTGATTTCAGATCTTCAACAGGCAATAAACAGCATTCGGGCAGAGAGGGAGGCCCAGGAACAGACAGCAAGGGAAAAGCAAGAACTTCTTATTGCCCAAATAGCAGCTTTAGAAACTGATCTTAACCGTCTCCAACAGCTGGAAGTCCAGCTAACAGCAGAGATTGCCATCTCTGCAGAACTTCGCAAGCAGCGAGTGGAGCTAGAGGCAAAAGTAGCCTCCTTGGAGGACACTGTCAATATGCTACGATCCAAGTGCCAATGCATGGAAGTAGAGAGTGAAGCACAGCAGGAGACTCTCAATGTTCTCAGGGCTGACCTGCAGAAAGCTCAAGCCTCCCTAGTGGAATATGAAGAAAAGCTTGCAGACCATCAAAGAGTGGTAGATGAAAACACTAATCTCCGTGCCAGAATCTCTGCTTTGGACAACACTGTTGCACTTCTGCAAAATGAGATTGATACAGAGAGAAAAAGAGGAGATGAGGTTCTTGCAGCAAAAGAGCAGCAGAAATCTCTAATGGAGGAAAAGTTCCAAAAACAAGAGGAAAGGGCTCATGAAATGTTTATAGAACTAGAGACTCTGAGTCAGGAACTCCGCAAGACGAAGCAGCAGAAACTCCATGCTGAATCATGTATAGAAAAGCTTACAGAAGAGGGACGAGTACTTGCAGCCAGTCTCACAGAAGAACGAGATCAGGCCCAGTTACAACTGGTGGTAGTAAGGAAAGCCAAAGATGAAGCTGAGTTGGAACTACAGCGTATCATTGCTGAGCATCACAGTAAAATATGTCAGTTAAAGACTGACATGAAGAGCATCCAAGATGGGCACCAGAAAGAACTAGAGGCTTTGCAGACAGAGAAAGAGCAGATCTTCTCAGTCAACCAGTCTCTTCAGATGGAGTGCCAGAGCTTGCAGACAGAGATTACGAAGCAACAGGAGGCACTCTGTGTGCTCAAGGCTGACCTGCAGAGCTCCCAAGATGGATACCAGCAACATTTAGAGATGTTGAAAAATCAGGAAGAGCAACTCTCTTCAGTCAACCAATCCCTCCAAACTGAGTGCCGGAACTTGCAGGCAGAGATCAAGGGCCGACAGGATATTGTGAATACTTTGACAGCTGACTTGCAGAACACACAGAAAAGGCACCAGAAAGATCTGGAGACATTTATGAAGGAGAAAGACCATTTGTCCTCTGTCAACCAGTCCCTCCAGAATGAGTGCCAGAGCCTGCAGGTAGAGATCAAGGAGCAACGGGAAGAACTAAATGTGCTCAAGGCTGACCTGCAGAACACCAAAGAAGGGCACAAGAAAGATTTGGAGATCTTGATCAGTGAGAAGGACCATCTGTCCTCAGCCAACCAGTCCCTCCAAATTGAGTGCCAGAGCCTGCAGGTAGAGATCAAGGAGCAACGGGAAGAACTAAATGTGCTCAAGGCTGACCTGCAGAACACCAAAGAAGGGCACAAGAAAGATTTGGAGATCTTGATCAATGAGAAGGACCATCTGTCCTCAGCCAACCAGTCCCTCCAAATTGAGTGCCAGAGCCTGCAGGTAGAGATCAAGGAGCAACGGGAAGAACTAAATATGCTCAAGGCTGACCTGCAGAAGACCCAGGAAGGGCACAAGAAAGAATTAGAGATCTTGATCAATGAGAAGGAGCATTTCTCATCTGTCAACCAGTCCCTCCAGAATGAGTGCCAGAGCTTGCAGGCAGACATCAAGGGGCAACAGGAGGCTCTAAATACCCTGAAGACTGATCTGCAAAACACCCAAGAAGGGCACAAGAAAGAATTGGAGATCTTGATCAGTGAGAAGGAGCATCTGTCCTCTGTCAACCAGTCCCTCCAAATTGAGTGCCAGAGCCAGCAGGCAGAGATCAAGGGGCAACGGGAAGAACTAAATGTGCTCAAGGCTGACCTGCAGAACACCAAAGAAGGGCACAAGAAAGATTTGGAGATCTTGATCAGTGAGAAGGAGCATCTGTCCTCAGCCAACCAGTCCCTCCAAATTGAATGCCAGAACTTGCAGGCAGAGATCAAGGGGAAACAGGAGGCTCTAAATACCCTGAAGACTGATCTGCAAAACACCCAAGAAGGGCACAAGAAAGAATTGGAGATCTTGATCAGTGAGAAGGAGCATCTGTCCTCAGTCAACCAGTCACTCCAAATTGAGTGCCAGAACTTGCAGGCAGACATCAAGGGGCAACAGGAGGCTCTAAATACCCTGAAGGCTGACCTGCAGAACACGAAAGAAGGGCACAAGAAAGATTTGGAGGCACTCATGAAGGAGAAGGACCATCTGTCCTCTGTCAACCAGTCGCTCCAGAATGAGTGCCAGAGCCAGCAGGCAGAGATCAAGGGGCAACGGGAAGAACTAAATGTGCTCAAGGCTGACCTGCAGAACACCAAAGAAGGGCACAAGAAAGAATTGGAGATCTTGATCAGTGAGAAGGAGCATCTGTCCTCAGCCAACCAGTCCCTCCAAATTGAATGCCAGAACTTGCAGGCAGAGATCAAGGGGAAACAGGAGGCTCTAAATACCCTGAAGACTGATCTGCAAAACACCCAAGAAGGGCACAAGAAAGATTTGGAGACATTCATGAAGGAGAAAGACCATCTGTCCTCTGTCAACCAGTCGCTCCAGAATGAGTGCCAGAGCCTGCAGGTAGAGATCAAGGAGCAACGGGAAGAACTAAATGTGCTCAAGGCTGACCTGCAGAACACGAAAGAAGGGCACAAGAAAGAATTGGAGATCTTGATCAGTGAGGAGTGTTTGTCCTCAGTCAACCAGTCCCTCCAGAGTGAGTGCCAGAGCTTGCAAGCAGACATCAAACGGCAACAGGAGGAACTAAATGTGCTCAAGGCTGACCTGCAGAGCACCCAAGATGGGTACCAACAGGAGTTGGATACCTGGAAGAAGGAAAAGGAGCATCTTTCTTCAGTCAACCAGGCTCTTCAGAGTGAGTGTCAGAATTTGCAGGCAGAGAACAAAGGTCAGCAGGAGATTCTGAAAACCCTAAGAGCTGACCTGCAGAACACCCAAAATGTGTACCAGCAAGAGTTGGATACCTTGCAGAACGAACAGAAGCATCTCTTTTCAGTCAACCAGGCTCTTCAGAGTGAGTGCCACAGCTTGCAAGAAGAGATCAAGGGGCTACAGAAAACCCTGGATAGGTATCAAAAAGATGTGAAAACTTTGCAGAATGAAAAGGAGCATCTCTCTTCAGTCAACCAGTCTGCCCAAAGTGATTGCCAGAACTTGCAGGCAGAGATCAAGGGGCAACAGAACACACTGGATAGGTATAAAAAAGATGTGGAAACTTTGCAGAATGAAAAGGAGCATCTCTCTTCAGTCAACCAGTCTGTCCAGAATGAGTGCCTGAGCTTGAGGGCAGAGAATAAGGGTCAGCACGAGACTCTGAAAAGCCTAAAAGCTGACCTGGAGAACACTCAAAATGGGTACCAGCAAAAGTTGGAGACCTTGCAAAAGGAGCAGGAGCATCTCTCTTCGGTCAACCATTCTCTCCAGAGAGACTGCCAGAGCTTGCAGGCAGAGATCAAGGAGCTACAGGACACCCAAGATAGATATCTAAAAGCTGTGGAATCCTTGCAGAAGGAGAAGGAGCAACTCTCTTCAGTCAACCAGTCTGTCCAGAGTGAATGTCAAAGCTTACAGGCAGAGAGCAAAGGGCAACAGGAGGAACTAAATGTGCTCAAGGCCGACCTGCAGAACACACAAGATGAATACCAACGAGAGTTGGAGACCTTTAAGAAGGAAAAGGAGCATCTTTCTTCAGTCAACCAGTCTCTCCAGAGTGAGTGCCAGAGCTTGCAGACAGAGATCAAGAAGCTCCAAAAAACCCAGGAGGACATGGAAACCTTGCAGAAGGAAATGGAGCAACTCTCTTCAGTCAACCAGTCTGTCCAGAGTGAATGTCAAAGCTTACAGGCAGAGAGCAAAGGGCAACAGGAGGAACTAAATGTGCTCAAGGCCGACCTGCAGAACACACAAGATGAATACCAACGAGAGTTGGAGACCTTTAAGAAGGAAAAGGAGCATCTTTCTTCAGTCAACCAGTCTCTCCAGAGTGAGTGCCAGAGCTTGCAGACAGAGATCAAGAAGCTCCAAAAAACCCAGGAGGACATGGAAACCTTGCAGAAGGAAATGGAGCAACTCTCTTCAGTCAACCAGTCTGTCCAGAGTGAATGTCAAAGCTTACAGGCAGAGAGCAAAGGGCAACAGGAGGAACTAAATGTGCTCAAGGCCGACCTGCAGAACACACAAGATGAATACCAACGAGAGTTGGAGACCTTTAAGAAGGAAAAGGAGCATCTTTCTTCAGTCAACCAGTCTCTCCAGAGTGAGTGCCAGAGCTTGCAGACTGAGATCAAGGGGCAACAAGATGCTCTGAATACTCTGAAGGCTGACTTACAGAACACTCAAAAAAGGCACCAAAAAGATTTGGAGACCTTCATAAAGGAGAAAGACCATTTGTCCTCAGTAAACCAGTCCCTCCAGAATGAGTCCCAGAGTTTGCAAGCAGAGATTAGAGGGCAACAAGAGCAGCTAAATGTGTTTAAGGCTGACCTGCAGAACACCCAAGATGGGTATCAACAGGAGCTGGAGGCTTTGAAGAAGGAGAAGGAGAATCTCTGCTTAGTCAATCAGTCTCTTCAGAGTGAGTGTCAGATCTTGCAGGTAGAGATGAAGGGACAACAGGAGGCTCTGAATATTGTAAAGGCTGACATGCAGAAAACTCTTGATCAGTATAAAAAGGAACAAGAGGCCTATCAGAAGGACAAAGAACATCTCTTTCAGTGAACCAGTCTCTTCAGAGAGAGTGTGATGCCTCTCAAAGATTGGGAGCAGAGTTGGAGTTGAAGCTACGTGAGCAGAAGGAATCAATCCTTGCCCTGAAGGAGGCTGCCCAACAAAGAGAGAGGCAGAGCCAAGAACTACAGGAGCAGCTGAAGCTGAAGACTGAAGCAGTGGAGCACTACAAAGAGCAGGTTGGGAACGGCCCTTTATTTGGTTTTCTGAAGAGTAATTTTTTTAACAGAGGATGCCAATTGATCAAAGTACACCCTTTCCCAACAATGTAAAGAACCTGAAATGCAGTTCCTCTTTGCTGTGTTTCCTAACAGGTGGAGAAAGCGAAAATGCACTACAACGGTAAAAAGCAACTGCTGGTGGAGGAACAGGAGGCGCGGCAGGCTTTGCAGGTTTCTCTTGAGACCGCTGTGAGTGAGGTGAAGGCCCTGAAGGCTGAACTGAAACTGTCCTCTATGGAGCTGGAGAAAACAAAGATGTCTGAGAAGAATTTATTGGTCAAGGTCCAGAGCCTGGAGACCCAGGTTAGTGTAATTCTTTTTTTCTTTTTTGGAGTTTAGTAACAAAACAAAGATTAGTTCCAGCTGTTTTTAAGGTTAACATCTTAGTTGTTGGCTTTTATGATGAGGGAACTTAACAGATTAAAAAAAAATGTGTATGAATGGACACTAGTTATACCTAAATGTTAATTATCTTATAGCTTTAGATCAATATCTTATCAGTTAACATTGTAATTTTATTACATTTGTTGAGGCTTGCTAGCTTGTGAACTTAATGAGGTGGATCCTTGTTTCAGATGGACTATGCAGATCGTCAGTTAAGAGAACAAAGGAAGCAGGCAGGTCAGGGTGCTCAGGTGAAACACAGAGAAAGTCTTTACCTGAAAGTCCCAGCAGAGGTGCAGAACACCAGCACTGACAGCCTGGAACTCGATCTGGAGGATTCTCTCAATGTTGGAGGGTAACTCACTCTGCCCTTTCTGTAAATATAATAAGTATCCTTCACATTTGGAACCTTATGTTCAACCAGGCTCTCACTTTTGGTCTCTCAACAGTAAGCCAGCAGTGCCAGGTGAATCCAGCACTCCATTGGTCCGCAGTTCTGAGCGACTGGCTTCAAAGCGACGTGCCCAGGAAAGAGGCTCTCTGGAGACTCTCTACTTCACTCCCATGAATCCACGGAGCAAGAGCCATGATGCTGCCAACCACCAAAACAAACTGGAAAGCAGCATCACATCTCTGGGTGACCTCACTCTTGACTCCACTAAGAAGCTGACTTCTTCTGTCCGAAGACGTCGCACCACCCAGGTCATTAACATCACCATGACGAAGGTAGAGATCTCTTAACAAAAAACAGCTTTTATTACTTTTCCCTCCTTCCAGTTTTTTCTTTAATTAAAATCAGGGCTTTTTGGTTGATGCTCATGTAACTAATTTGATAGATGGCACAATGTGGTCAGGTAAACATAAATTAAAGCCAGACTTCAGAAAATTTATTTTTAGCTTATTTTTAGTTTTCAGTCCATGTATACTGTTAATCTGGTCTTCTCCACAACTGCACGAGTGTGGAAGCAGAACCACACAAACCATCATGTCGGGCTCAAGGACATAACGTTTTGTTCTGCAGAAAACCCCTGGTGGTGCTGGTGGAGAAGCAGAAGAGTCCTTCTACAGCCTGCACACCACACAGTCCCAACCTAACCTAGCATCCCAAAAAACCCGCCCCGTTTCCATGGAGATCTTCGAGGAGCCGGGTGCAGCGAACTCCAGCGACAAACTTCTTGGCTTGCCCGGATACCGCCGAAGCAACGTGCACGGAAATGCTCCTCCACGGGGTGAGTGCCACCTGTTGTTCAGCATAAAAGCTTCTTCTCCATTGCAGGCCTGAACATTTCTGGGCATGGATAGAAACTTTTCCAGTAGGTTCTAGATTACTGTCCAGTTTCTTAGGTGCTCCCTAGTCCTGAATTAGCACAACAAATGAGAAATAAACAAAGAACGGAAGGTGTTGGCTGTGGTCTTCATGGGTTTCTGTTTTTGTAATGAACTAAAAATTGCTGTGTAACTTTGTGCGTGTGTAGCCCCGAGCACGTTCTGTGTGGGAGCAGAGTATGAGCCGGAACATGTTGCTGATGATTGGATGCGTATCGCGGAGCTCCAGTCACGGAACAAAGCCTGTTTACCGCACTTGAAGAGCAGCTACCCTCTGGAGTCCAGGGTACGTATGTGTGTTTGTGTTGCCCTGCCCATCCACTGTTTTCACTCTAATATTCCATTCACTCAAGCAGACTTTTCTTTCATGTTACTTGTGTATTTTGCTTTTCAAATCATTGCTTTTCACCGATAAAACACATTGTTCATATGATCCACACAGTCATTCAGACTGTAATACACTTCAGGAAGTGTAGGGGGTGATATGATATTTAATTGCTTGTTTGTTGTGCTCTTTCAGCCCAGTCTGGGATTCTCCACTCTTCCGATAACTGATGAGGATGTCCGTTTTGGAGATCCAGAAGAGACGATCCGGCGTGCCTCCATGGTCCCGAGTCAGCTTTCTGAATCTCTTTCATCCCACCGACTGTCCCTGGCTCCACCCCCAGCTAGCAGAGACCATGCCTCCTCTCAGCCACAACGTTACAGCATGCTGCCGGGTCAGATTAGTGCAGGAACCGCGGTTCATCGTTCATCTCAGGTCTCCAGAGCTTCCACCAAAATCCACGAGGTCCGCTCAGTCCGAAGCCCGCTGGCCCCCAAACGGCCTGCCGGTCACCTTCAGGACCAGGACACCCCCGAGGTAAAGCACCTGCACCAAACTGAGCCAGACTACACTCACCGAAACACTCTGTCTCTGCTTTGCTGTTATTGCTTCATACAGTACGGCCTAATAAAGTTTTTAGAGCACGTATGCAGGAAACATTAATAATTAAAATTCATAGACTAAAGCCGTTTGAATGACTGGTACTTCCACCTCTTTCAAAGTAAGTACACACTTCAGTGCATCAGTTTCTATCTCTTCAGTAGGATGCAAACTTTTATGGAGCTAAACGCTATCGAGTAACCTGCTCAGGATTGTGCTACTTGCTATCAGTGATATTTTTCCATTTAAAAAAAATATAAATGTGTAGAAAAAGACTAAGATTACAGCAGTCATACAAAAAAATATCAACAATTAATGATAAATAACAATATGGAAAAAACAATCATTAAACACTGTATTCTGATAGTCTAGATCATTTTTGATAATATATTTTTAAATGAAAACATTCAGTAGTTGCAGATCTTAAGGGTTTTAAAATGCATAATGCTGTGGTGATTCAGCTGTATTGACTTTGGATTGTTTGAATTGATTATAATGAAGTATAATTATGTTCAAGTATGCTCTTTGGCCAAAGTGAAATTCTCAGGCTGTTTTTTTAAATGTAAAAATAAATAACTTCTTTATATTCCACTAGTTCAGAGAGTTCCTGCAATTACATTAATTCGGAGTATTTTTTGAAACAATTCAGAATTGCTCCATACAGTCACTTCCTTTAGACTGGTAACTAAATGAAACATGGAATCACAGATTTAGGCTCCTGTTGTGTAATTTTGTGATGTGCACTGACTAACACAGATATGTACAGCTTAATCTTTGTGTAATCTTCTGTTTTCTTTCTCTGTAGGCTAAGAAACTGGCGAGTTGTTTTCCGCGGCCGGCAACTCCTAAAAACAGGAACCTTCGATCTGCAGCCAGCAGCTCTCAGAACAGACCGCCTTCTCCTGTAAGTAGGGCTGAATGCTCCTTAATGTAGATTTGACACCTATATGTAGCAGGTGTGCACTTTTGCGTGTGTACATTGTGATAGAGGTTCAATATGGGAGATTACAAAGAATAAAAGTAGTGGGGGCAGTTTGTCTGCGGTAATCACACGTATATCTATATGTTCCTTCATGGAGCTTCTGAACACAGCAGGTTGATAAATATACAACAGCAGAATAGGATCACAGATTATTCACACAAATAAACATTCCTTTTTTCTCATTGTGGTTCAGGAAACCAGTCCACATACAGTGCTTTTGCAAAACAAGATGTTTGCCCATTTTAAGAAATAATGAAACATGTCTTTCAGTACTGCAGTACAACTTTTCTATAAAATGAGTAAAAAGTGTCTGGAAATCTGAAATTCTACAAGCAAACTCAATGGTCAATATTAGCTGTATTGAGTAGATTTAAGATTTTACTTTCCCGAGAGGTTATTCAGCGTCTCTGAATCTTTTTCGTTCATCTTTAGTTGTTTTACTCTAACATAAACCCTCATTAAATCCCCTTCAGTCACCGCATTAAACCAGGACCAGCTTTAAACCATTTTTCTGGTGGCCGTTTCTGTATGTTTGTTTGTCTATAGGCTGACCGCAGACAGTCAATGGCATTCGTAATCGATAACACCCCGAAGAAATCCGGCCGAGTGGACAGCAGGCTGCAGCGCGGCATCAACAAACTCCGCAACAGTGCCCGCAAGTCCCCCGCCGCCACCACCCGTCTGGGCCGGGCCGCTCCACTGGACCGACCGCAGAGGAAATCCCCGCGAAATCTCACCGCCAAATCGCCAAAGATCCCCACGAGCGCCAAGAAGGTACTTCAGGCTGAATTTTAACTCAGATTTTTACTTGAGTATTAATCAAAGCCTGCAGCGCCCTCTAGTGGACAGAGTTCAGACAGCTCATTATTCTTAAACCTTTACGTCACACTGCAGTTTTATATATATTATTTCTGACTGAAACGTTTGTAGAAACTGTGGAAACTGCAGAATGTAAACTTTCAATACAAACTACAGAGTTCATAAGTAAGAGATTTTTATTTCAGGACAAAAAAAACTTTTTTTGTTCTGTCGTCATTTTTGAGATTGAAACTGTGAGATTTTAATCTTTTCAAATGTAGTTTAAGTTAATGTGGAATTGCGTAATGTTTAAGTGCAGCTGAATAACTGTAATAATAAGACCTCTAAGGGTTAAACTGAGATCATGTACTTCAAGCAATCAATTATCCAATAGCCTCGTTTACGGTTTACTTCTTATTTTATTAATTTAAGAATTTTACATTTTGAAAATGTGAAGCTCTTATTTAATTACTGGAGGTCAGAGGTTCCATGGGAGCACATTCTTATTTATACGCTCAACATCAGATCAATCAGATTATCAGATGAATCGTAGTCTTTTCTGTGTCCAAACAGAATCAGAGCTTTGCTGGTCTTTAAAATGAAGCAGGTAAAGTGTGAGCTGAGATTAGTTACGCTACGTTTACACAGCAGGTAAAAGTGGCCCAAATCCAATCTTTTTCCTCACATGTAACACCAGATATGTGTCTGTGAACAGAAACACGCTGAATCTGACATTTTCAATTCCGATTTGAGACGCTTTCATATGTGGTACTGGAATCCAATACGTATCCGATCTGCAGCAGAGCGACTCAGCCTGAACAGCCAGATCGGAATTCATGCGACTTTTACGTCAGTCCAACTCAACATTTGTCATAGTTTCGCACTGCTGAGAGTCAAACATTTAGGCTGATGTTTCTGTACCAAAAAATTATTAGACACTTGTCGCAGCCGCTCCGTGTTCAAAGAGGTTTCGGACGAAACGGCCGAACGCAGCCGGAGGAGCCCGACTGTTCTGGCTGCCATGACTGTTCACCTCTGGATGAACCACGTGAAGCATTGTTCTTTTGCGCATGTGGGTCAGTTTAGGAGCTGATCTGTTCAGACTGATGTTGCAGGCACGTCACATTTAAAAGATAATTTGAACAGCCAAACAAAAAAATCGGACTTGGTGAGAATCAGATTTGGGCCACTTTTACCTGCTGTGTAAACGTAGCCTTAGTGTTCTGGTTGTCGTGGTGATGGTCACAGTGTGGTGGGGTGCTGGTCTGGGGTCAGTGTTAAAGGGGAAAGTGTTGTACAGCATGATAAACAACTTCTGTGAGAATCTCGATCAGGACGTTTCACAGAATTCCCACCGAAAAGAGTTTAAACTGAATGAACCAGCGTCCTCAGTAAATGATGACTGAATGAGTTTGCGATGCTTCTGCTGGTTATTTATGATGAATGTAAATAACTGTATTGAATATGCTCAGTCGTCCTGATCGGGGTTTAAATAGAGCAGTTATTATTGATTTATTTCTGTTATTAATTTAAACTGAAACTACGTTTCTCATTGATCTTTTTCTCTTTTTTTACAGCTGATGAAGTTCAGGATATTGTGAGAGGCAGTCCTTCAGCTCAACACTTAAATTTCTTTACAGTGGTGGTGATAGGAACCAGGGGTCGCCATGACAACACAAATATAGACATTTTATTTACTATCCAAAACCACCAGTGAACCTACACGAGTCTTCTGAGTTTATATGGAATGTTGATGATGAAAAATAGTGGAAAATCTGAAATAATAAGTTTTCTTTGGGGACTGTTTTGCCTCACAGCGCCCTGCATGTATCCTTCCACCATGAGTGGATTGAATGTATTGATGAGTGAGTATAAAGGTTGTAGAGCAGTGCTTCTCAACTCTGGTCCTGGAGGCCCATTGTCCACGTTTTAGTGCTTCTCCTGCTTTAACACACCCACTTTACCTCAGTAATGGGCTGTTAATCACTTGGACCAGGTGTGCTGGGAGCAGGGAAAACACGACAAAGTGCAGGACAGTGGGCCTCCAGGACCAGGGTTGAGAAACACTGTTCCAGAGCATGTAAAGGCTTTTCTCTAGAACCGTACGCCCATGCCAAGAACCATTCAGGAGCTTATTCGGTCACTGATTCGTACAGCTCAATTATAATTGTATTTATGGATAATTTTTATATGTGTAACCGCTCATAGTACTTTATGGATATAGATTAAATAATACAGGTTATTTTTGTTTGGATCTTATCATCTCGCTTTAATTGCGAGTATATCTGGGTCTCTAAATGCAGATTAATCAAAGTTAAGGGTAACCCTCAGTAATGATGGGTTAAAAAGCTCATTTAAAAGGTCTTTTAGGGCTTCAGTCTCACATTGTGAATGTGAGCGATTTGTTTGAAGTTTTCATTTTCTTTTGACTACATTTACTTCCTTTTCTCTGTTGTTTGTCTCTTTTTGTCTGTTGTAAATAAACAGTACCTGCTTTAAGCTGTGTTGAACTTTATTTTAAACTATTTTCACTTAGAAAATTACTGAAACACACATCACTAGGTGTGCCAAAATTTTGCATAGGACTGTATAAATATAACTAACATTACATTCTATAGACACTTTTTTTTGTTTTACACAGAATAATTTTGATGTAATAATGACATTCAGTGCATTTATTCAAATAATTTGTAAGTTCAATATTAAATTACTTAACTTTTCAGTATTAAAGGGTGATTTTATTTATTTATTTATTTTCATTTTTAAAGTTTCTTTGAGTTGTAGACCTTTTTTTCCACCCATTCATTTATGACTTATTCTCTGATCTTATGTATCTCAGCTGAGCATTGCTCATTAATACCTCTTTCACAGAGCACAAATATATATTTATTTATTGTGAAGGACAAATTTTGTCTCGTTTGTTAAACACATTTATAGACGTTCAACTGTTTTTATTTATCACAGTCACTGAACTTCTACGGTTTTTTTTCATTAATTTCTGTAAGAAAAACGGCTGAAATGGCGAATTAATTATTTCATTACTGTTAAAAGTCCCGTGAGAGCGAAAGCAGTGACGTAGCGGCTCTGCGTCAGCAGCGCGCTGCAGGAAGCGGAACGCGGCCGATCGGAGCCGGAGGTGAGAGTTTATTAAACCGTTTTATTTACATTAATAACGGATTAATGTTCGGGTTCTCCGCTGGTTTCGGAGGTTAGGGTTCGGGTTAGAGTTCGGGGGGTTCGGGAGCGGTGCAGAGTCAGAGTTCAGAGGGTTAATGTGGGTCTGAAGTGCGGCGCTAATCTTCGCTGCCGTCTCGTTCGAATTGTTCCGTTCCACCTTAAATGGAGCAGCAGTTACTGTTTACCGCTTCGGCCGGCCGAAGGTAACTACTGCAGCATTTAAGGTGGAACGGAGAGTTCGAACAAGAAGCTAACTTGAGCTTCGTGCGCTGACGTTAGCAGTTAGCTGAGAGTTGGCTGATGAACCGTAGCGTTAACTGTTTGTTTGTTTGTGTGTTTGTGTGTTTATGTATGTGTGTGTGTGTGTGTGTTTGTGTTTGTCCGCAGGGCCGGGGTGTTTATTTGTGCTCTGTTAGCGTCACTATGAGTGCGGACGGTAATGACAGTGACCTGGAGGTGGAGAGGTGAGCTAAATCGCACAGCTCACTAAATTCAGTCGCTCATTCCAATTAAAACTGCGTTATTAACCCAAAATAAACACTTATTTTCTCAGTACTTTCAATTATAAGGGAATATCGGCTACATTTCTCCCAACATTGTCATCTTAATGGCTCAAATCCTGTTAAGTATTTTGAGCCGCAAAGTGAAAGTAAGAGAAGTGTTAAGAGAGTAAAATATTCTGTAAATCATAATTTTGAGACATTAAGTGTCATTTTGTAAGTCATAATTTTGAGGTAATACACCAAAATAAGGCAAATCTTAAGAAAATAAGTCATTCTGTAAGTCATTATTTTGAGATACTATGTCAAAATCAGTGAAACTGAGAATTATATTTATGTGTTTATGAGGTGAATGTGAGTGTGAAGATGTGAGGTGTTTCTCCGTTCGTTATTCAGGATAATGGAGCGTCCTCCCAGCAGCTATGGCTCCATGAGGAGTGACGACTGCGAGGATGAAGAAGAAGAGCTTGATGATTGTCCACAGCCCACCGCTCACGTCAGCCTGGCCCCACCGACCAGACCTTCAGTGTACAGACACACACTGATTATTCACACACTCACTGACCTATAACTTATTATCCTGTTTAAAGTGTTTAGTCAGTTTAGTGTCTAAAAGATTCAGAGTTCCAGCTGTAAAAGAGGAACGCTGTGTTTGTGTTTCAGGATCAGGCTGACCCGCCCCGACTCTCCAGAGACCGGAATCACGGCGCTCACTCAGGGACAGCAGTCCAGCGTCCACAAAGAGGGAGCATTCATCAGTCAGCTGGGGTACGTTTACAGACTCTCTCGCTCTGCAAAGCATCTGGTCGTGTCGGATTATGGTACCAGACGCGTTTTCATTTCCAGTTTCCAGCTGCAACATGCAGATGATGCTCGAGCCGCTGCAGTGTTTGGATCCTCCTTTTTTTTACCGCTAACTCAGTTCTGACTTGCTCGACTCCTCACTTTCCTAAGAGTTACACACATTCCTCTTAATTAAGATCATAAAGTCAGATGCTGGGATCACCATGGTCACTGTGTCAGATTAGACAGTCATAGTCCCATAAATCTGTGCCGTGTTTCTTCTGACAGCACTACAAGTTTGGCTCCGATCAGTTATCATTCATGTCCTTGCGCAAGTTCATGGATCGTCGGGGAGGCGGGTCAAGAACCTGTCAATCACTGTGATGATGGCAGTTTCTGAAAATAAAATGTAAAGAATAAAAAAGGGATTGTAGAGACTTTCTGGATGTCAGAAGAGGACAGTGTGACTTTCCTACAGAGAGAACCTGAGGTAAAGAAGGTGTTAACAGACACCAGAAACACTGTTTCTCACCAACATTCATATTTTTTGGACTCTGTCGTGGTTTCCCCCTCGAGGGGTTCTGCTGCCACAGCTCAGAGAACCTTTCCTCTGTTTCATTGTTCCATCGTAAGGCTGCAGCAGCAGCGTCGCTCTTTCTTTTCGCTGTGTTTACACCCGTGTGCCACACAGCGCTCTGTCAGCTGTTGGTTAATGTGAAGCAACGTGTAGCAGGAGACGTCTGACTAGGCGGAAAAATACAAAACACTCTGACATGCTAGACTTTTGTCAGGGTGTCATAGGGTGTCCCACATCGCTGTTCTCCAATTATGTTGCACCACACGACCTGTTCATCATTCCTGACGCTATTATTTGGGCCCAACGCTGAAAATTAGCTGGCTGTGTCAAAATCATGTCCAAATCGGGCTGAATTGGTGTCGTTAGAGAGCTGTGCTGAGGTTAGGTCAGATTAAGTCTTTCTGAGGCTGTAGGCTAAAGACAGGACTCTTAAAATATCAACACTGTCTAGTTGTGATGTTTTAACAAGTGAAGCCATCTTAAATGTAGCCATATCCAATATTCTTTCTGCTGTAAGAATTTTAGATGTTTTTACCTGAATCGTCTTAATTGCAGTTGTCTCATTATATTGGCTAAAATATGCTTGTAACAAGCAAAAGTATCGGTTCGCACGGTTATGAAAATCCTGGAAAAGTTACTGAATATAGACAAATCCGGTTTTCCTGGCCTGGGAAAGTCATGGAAAATAATAAGTGCAGGACGTGTGTGTGAAAGATGTTTTGATTCGAACACTCAAGAAGATGAATTAATGAGCTGAACGTAAGAGGAAAAACACACCGCTGTGCTGCTCAATACAAAACCTGCCTGACCAGCTTTTCAGCTGTGAGTCAAATTTTATACCGGAAGCGATGCAGTCACGGTGCCTCTGACTCTCAGGCCCTGCGCCCTGTCCTGCACCTCTGAATGGCCCTTCATTCAGAATGGATGAATCTAATCTGCTGAGCAGGTTCGCCTCTACAGGCACGTGTGATACTCTGTCATGTCATGTCATGTCACATCGTATCACAGAGAAAACTGCATGTATATATTTACACACGTATATGTAAATATGTACACAAAGACGTATATATATCGGTGTAACAATACACTCGTGTTAATTTGATTTCTCTGTGTTTTCTCTCTCTCTATCTATCTATCTCTCTCTCTCTTCTCTATCTCTCTCTCTTCTCTCTCTCTCTCTCTCTCTCTCTCTCTCTCAGGCGTGAGCAGCAGATGCCATGGGGTGTGGCTGATGCGTTTGAGGAATATGGCCTCCCGAGAGAGAGGCGGAGGAGGGTGGGGTCTCAAGTGAGGATGGAGGTGACGCCCACGGAGCCCCAGCATTCTCTGCAGCCCCTGCAGAATCTCCGCCCACCACCGGAGGGTGTCGGCCTGCAATCAGGATTCGTCCACGTCACTCTGACGCTGCCGTTTGTGTTCAAGGTGAGGCAATAAAACGATAACAGCAGTATATCGTCACTGTGGTAAGAAAATGGTAATTTTATAATTATTTTTTTTAATTAATTATTTCGTAGCATTTTTTTTGGTCCATCTGTAAATATTAACAGTTTTCAAAAGTTAAAAAACAGAAAAAACTCATGCACATTTCAGTAGGCTGATTGTCATTTTATTCCTCAGTGTGGTGTTAAGGCCGTTACACACCAAACTCCAATTATTTATTTATTTGAACGACAATAAATTCATTTGAGCGATTGTATAACTGACGGTGTCTTGCACACCAAACACGATTTTCAGATGACAAAAGTGCGACATTATTACTCTTCCATTTCTTTCAGCAATAAAAAACCTCTGATGAGTAACAGTCGCCTCTGTTGGTTTAAACCTTTTTACCATCATCAGAAGGTTCAGAATCTCCAGAAGCAGCTCAAACTGACCTACAAACATCCAGTTAAATGTGGGAAAAACTCATTCAGCTTCTGAATGAAGTGATGAAGCTCTTAATGCTACTTTCACTTTTCCTAAATGGACAGTAGTCCAGTGTCACCCTCTGTTCAGCTGGGAGCTAAGAATCGTATTTGCTCCTAAAGACATTCAGCCTGTTTGTTTTGTGCTTCGTCATTGGAGCACGTGGAGCTGCATCTCCAGATTCCTGAATGAGGAGAAACAATACGTTCTCCTCTCACTTCTCCAAAGTGCGCACTGTCACAGTTTGCCGGTTTCGTAAGCAGCACAGGATCTTTGTACTATAGTTTTACTGTAATTTGATATAGAATAAACGTGCCACATCTGTTGTGTGTAGTTTTAATGCGAGAAAATTACTTAATATTTCACATTTTCATGTCGTTTTTTGCTTTGAACAAACATGTCTTTTGTTTGGTGTGTAAGGGCCTTTATGTTTCTGCAGCAAAGCTTGAAGAATTGCTATTTCAGTACACTAGGTGGTGCTGTTTGGATCCATTTATATTCATGTTCTTTACTAGGTACAATAGTAATAGGTATTGTGTTTTCAGGCAATGCAGCAGAGTCTGTCTAAGCTGAATCACGCGGAGCTGGTGTGGTTTAAGCGCAGTCTGTGCAGTCAGTACAAGAACAAGTTTGAGTTGTCCCAGCTGGAGGAGTGCGATGTGCTAGACGTCGTTGACCGGCTGTTGGAGCGAGGCGGGAAAGGAGAGGCGCTGCACATGGCCATCCGCACGCTACAGGACATCAATAAACGGCCCATCGCTGACGAGCTGGAGAGTCGCTGCAAGAGAGGTACAGTGGAGGACATGCTCTGAACCCTTTCTTAACCACATGAACCCAAAAGTTCAAATCACGTCCCCTTTGGCGACAGTAAAATTGTATATGTCAGTGTGTGGAGTCAGATCTTCCTGAGAACTATCGTGTTAAGGCTCCTTTACTGTTTGTGGAGGCACCGTGTTTTTCCAAGTGTTTCCAAAGCTTGAAAAACAGGGCCTTGTTGTGTCAGACATTACATTTGATGACTGTACGCTGTAGGGACCACTTTTTGACCATCTTGCATATTTAACGGTACACATCAAGGGTTGACTAATGATTAGATGCCATTGTTACAGTATGTCTTAGTTATGTTAAGACTAGAGAATGGACAGTTCAAGTTTTTGTGTACAGGAGTTAATTTTCCTTCTCTTGTCTTTGCCCAGTCGTGGTCCAGTATCATTTGAGGAACAACCACACAAGGCGATATTATAACTTGTACGAGGGTACCTGTCGGCCTGGTCAGCAGCGCTTTGTGAGCGACGTCTACGCAGAGCCACCCATATACATCAGTGGGGACTGGGACATCAACACGGAGCACGAGGTCCACAGGCCCAACTTCCCCAGCAACCAGGGAACCCCCATCCGAGCTAATGACATCTTCCGTCCTATGGAGGGTGAAGCGCAAGTCCGGACCGTCCTGATGACAGGAGTTCCAGCCATCGGGCTGACCGTGGGGGTGCAGAAGTTCATCATGGACTGGACAGACGAGCATGCTAACCAGGACTTTCAGTTTGTCTTCTCTCTACCTGGCCGAGAGTTGCACTTGGTCAAAGACACAGAACAGAGCTTCTTGGAGATGCTCACAAGCTTCTACCCAGAGACAAAGAATGTTGACTTTTTGGGTAATGAGGACTGCACCATCCTTTTTATTATTGATGCTTTAGAGCTTTGCAAACAACCCCTGAACTTCAAGGTCAATCCGGATATCAGTGACCTGACGGTGAAAGCGCATGCGGATGCCCTCTTGACCAGCTTGATCAAGGGTACCCTGCTGCCTCAAGCTAGGATATGGATCACCTGTCACCGGGTTGCAGCCAGCAAGATCCCTTCTCAGTATGTCAGCAGGTTCATGGACCTGAAAGGATTTACTGACGCAAAGAAGGATGAGTACTTCACCAAGAGGACCAAAGATCCGGCACTGGGTGTCCGGGTGCTTGAGCATATCAAGCGCTCTCCGGCCCTGTACAACATCTGCCAGTTGCCTCTTCTTTGCTGGATAGTGGCCTTCATTTATGAAAGGCGCTTCCATAGTCCGGACTACACAGAACATCCACCGGCAATCACCACCTTCTACACTCAGTATGTGATTGTGCAGACGAATCGCAAGATCGAGCGCTATGTTGGGACGGGCTTGGAAGCATCCCGCTGGAAGGATAAAGACAAGGATTTTCTGACCTCTATGGGCAAACTCGCACTGAAGATGGTGCTGGAGGCCAGAGACGTTTTCTACGAGGATGAGGTGTCCGATCTAGGGTTGGACCTGGATGACGTGACCAATCGGGGTGGAATTTCTACCGAAGTCAGGCGAGCAGGCGGGTACACACGAGGTGAGCGGGGCTTCAGCTTTGTTCACTACAGTGTGCAGGAGTTCATGGCAGCCATGTACACGTATGTGACGTTCCGGGTCAAGGGTAAGAATGTCTTCGAGCAGCAGATCAAAAACAAGATGGCCAAGCTGATGAAGGACAGACCCGTCTGCGACCTCTACAAGCTGGCCGTGGACCGAGCCCTGGCCAGCCGCAACGGGCATCTGGACATGTTCCTGCGCTTCCTGTTTGGCTTCGCCACACCTGGGACAGAGGCACACCTGCGTGGTTACCTGCTGCCCCAATACCATCCGCCGCCCAAGGGCATGGACGACGTTGTGAAGTACGTGAACAAGAAGATCAGGGAGAATGCTTCACCCGAAAAGGCGCAGGAACCTGGAATGGTGCCTCAACGAGCTGGAGGAGGGCAAGAATCACAGATGACAAAGTGAGAAATGACAGAATAGGAAGGTGCAAGGTTCTGTGGATGTTTGTGTTTATGCGCGAGAGGAGAAAAAGGATTCCCGAGTGCTCCTTCAGTGTGAGACCCTGGCTGCTCTGTTTCAGTTTTGCTCACTACATGTCCCAGTTCTGGTTGATAAATTTTGCTCACTCCAAAGATCAGCATGGGAATGAACCTTATTGTCCTTTACAAGCGCACCTTACTAGCTTGTTGCGCAAATTAAATGTGAGAACCAAGCTGTGCCTGCACGAGTAAATGGTCCCTGGCAAATACAGCTCAATAGCGCTGAATGCTTGGAAAAATGAGATTATATTTTCGTTACATCATCAGATATTTGATTTAATTCTGTGTTTGTGGATTTATTGAAACAGTGGGAAAAGATAAACAGCTTCCCGTCACATCAGGCCGGATTCACAAAAGCTTTCCGAAGATAAAAACATATAAATGATCTATAGGAATGTTCTGAAGTGCTTCTCATGAAAAATAACTTCTTTAATATTCTCTTCAGCTCATTTCTTTAGAAAGTCTTATTTTACTAGGTAACTTGTTTATTATTTATGCAAAGGTATTGAATGTTTGCAATATTTGTGTAATGAGCTGTTAATGAGCCTTATTGTGTGCACTTTATTTGTGTTAGATGTGGATGCAGTTGTTTCATGAAGACTCTGTCAGTCCCACAGCTCATCTCGCAGGTTTGACTGCGCTGAGCTTCATTAGTGAAGCTTTGAGTAGCTTAACGCGTAAAGTGGTCGGATAGCATAGTGGATAAAACCTCACATGGATGGTCGGCGTTCGATTCCCCGTTCAGGTGGGAATACAAGCAAGACTATGACTGCATCTGTCTACCTTATTAGTCCGTTCCTTATAAGAGTGTCCACTAAAACTGTAAATGTACAGAGAGAAAAACAAGCCTCAAACAGCGTCCCCCTGTTGGGCTGTAGACATGTGACTGTGCACTTTTTACCCTGGTGTTCGTTAAGTGTAAAACAGACCATGATTATTTCTATTTTAGTTCTTATTGCAGTGAACATTTTAAATCGTTTTAGCAACAAATAATTTTTCATCTTAAACATATTGAGCGTTATTAAAGCTTTAATTTCCTGTTTCAGTTATTAAACTGTGCTGGTCTTATTGCTCCATGTGACTGGTTATGCTGCCTGCCTTTTAAGGAAGTGAGTACTTGAGGAGAAAAGTTTTTTTACTGAGTTGAGCACTTTTAAAGTCGCCTTATTGTACAACATAGTTTTTATTTTGAAGTTTTCAAACATGAAATCATCCCAAACTATTTTATTTAGAAGATTATAACCAAGGCAAAAAGAAACTAAAATGTATATTATAGGGATGCACTGAAAACTGTTTAACATAAAAGAGGCATTGTTTTATAAATTTGATGTCACATATTTATATATTATATATATATATTAGATGTTAATGCTATATATTACAGCCCATCATGGACAGTGTGAGATGCTTTAGTGAGGTTTTACCCCTTCAGTTAAATTCTCTCAGTGAAGAAAACATCAATTGTTCAACAAAATGTCAGTAAACAGCATCTTAAAGTTTGATACAGTAGTTATAAGCGCAGTTGTAAGTGTAGTAATGAGTGTAGTAAGCAGACATAACATTACTTTCTACCTAGCCTGCCAGCTTTTTTAAAATCAGACATTTCAGCACTTAATTGATTTTGAAAGAAAACAAAGGACAGAAATTTCCACTTTATTTTTTATACATACGATTACACCTTAATCTAGACGTTGTTCTGAAGTGTGAAGCACTTTTAATAAGGTTTTATATCTTCAGAGACGTTTTTGTGAATCCGGTCTGGATGGAGAGTGATGTCACTTCCTGTGGTTGGGGTAGAGTGAGACTGTGTACAGGGATGGAATGGGTGATATATGATTATTTATGTTTTCACACTTAGCCTTTCTGAATAGATTTGCTCTAACAGGGTTCTAATGGGCGTGTGAGCTCTATGATGATCAGAGGCTGTTACAGTCCACTGTAGGCCTGAGTCATTCTGTAGTCCTTGTAATGCCCATATTAAGAACTCCGGGTCTAAGCTGGATTTCTCTATGGCCAGAATGAATGGGGTTTTGGAAAAATTGCCTCTGTGGCCCCCTGTGGTAGATTCAAATGTTCTGAACCTGATAAGTTCTGTCCTGTGTACATTTTTCTTCCCAGTGTCACCAATTTATGAGGTCATTAATGGGCCTTAATAATAATGGTGCTACAGGCGAGTTAAAGCTACTGCGCATCAATCTGATGGCACTAAGCTACAGGAACATAAGGCGGGCTGTGGCGGTGCTCTGACAAGCTAAACTACCTTATTATCAATGCAGCTTAGAACCAGAGTTCCTAATGATGCAGGACTGCAGTGGTCTCCTATAACAGCCTCACTGGGGTCGTCCTCTAAATGCTGACAGATTACAGATACATACATATATATACACACTGTGTTTAAAGGTTTGGAATCAAGTGTCATTAATTCAGTAATAATGCGTACAGTACAGATTGAAATCTTCTAAATTAGACAGCAGAACACAGAACAGTGGTTTATTCACAGCTTGATGGATTTTGGGAGAAACTATGTGTTTAATAAATCTGTAAATGTTAATAAATAAACTGTTATCTGTTTATATTAATTTCATGCCGCAAGACTATGAGCAGCTGTGTGATCAGCAACGTATGAAAACACTGTTAAAGGTTCAAAACATGCACGCTTAAAAAGATGATTCTCCAGGGTAGTAAAGACGGTGATTCTGTATAGAGCCAGACACTCAGAGAACCTTTTGCATTTTGGTTCTGTATAGAACCAAAAAGGTTCTGCTGTTAGAGTGTCAGGCTGTGAACCCTTTTTGGTGCCATACAGAACGATATAATACATTCTCCATCAGTCTGGAAATCCATTTAAGCATGTGCAGCATTAAGCACTCAACCTACATTCAGACAATCAGAGCAGAGCTGATTTACATATGTCAGTGCGAGAATCAGCCTGTTTATCTGTGAGGATAGAGTGTGGAGATCCTGTAGGACCAAGTGATGATTCCAGGCGTTTAAACAGTGGTGTGTGTGCGTGTGTGTGTGTGTGTGTGTGTGTGTGTGCTGGTGTGAAGCTCAGTGTTCAGTGTGTGAAGCGTGAGCTCGTCAGCAGCGAGAGACTCGGGCGAGCGCTGTTTACAGTCTACAGAGGCTCTGAATGAAGAGCTCCTCAGTTATTCACAGTGTAAACATCTTTACTGGATCACATTCACTCAGCGTGTACCATATTATACCATACCATACTATAGTATACTATACTGTACTATACTATATTATATTACAGTATACTATACTATATTATGGTATACTATGTTAGATTACAGTATACTATACTATATGGCGATACGGCAGCAGTGAATACCGTCTGAAACGCTGCTACTGAACGTGTTTGCTGGCCTTATCCAAGTCTTATCCAGGGCTATTCCACCCATTTTCCAAAATTCCCCCATAGCTGAGTGTGTGAGATGTGAACAGAGTGACTCAGAGTGGTTTGGTGTGAAATGGTTTATTGTAGAGACTCTACAATGCTGTTTTTACACTTCAGCTTCTTTCTGGCCCAGGTCTGCTTGCTCTGCGAGTTCGGTACGTTTGGTCAAGTGTGAAAGCTGTTTTCGAGCCCGGGAGTAGAACAGAGAACTGATCTTTAGTCCCCTGTGGCCTGGACCGATCTCTAGTCCGGACCGATCTCTGGTGCTCCTGAAATCGGTGGTCTGGGGTTCGCTTCCAGCCAGGAACAACACAATCTGTTACCGCAGCACATGCCAACAATCGGATTGGTCGTAACTCAGCTCATTTGCATAAACGTCTGATGTCATGACGTCTTTGGTGACATCACATATACACTGCTTAAAATTTCAGCACCTCAAACTTGCGCTCCTTCCCGCATCTCTGTGTTCGGCGAGCTCTGGTGGGTCCGCTGTGCGTGAGGAAGCTCTCCGCTCCCAGCGCTGCGTGTGGAGCTGTGTGATTGCCTCATTCTGTAACATGATGCTTCAGCTCATTGCGTCACTTCCCTTTCCGAGTGTGGTGATGGGGGAGAGGACGGCTGTGGACAGAAAGAGCTGATATTCACCGCTTCAGTGTTTGTATCCAAGGAAAATAATAAAAAGCAGCAAACAGATGAAGCTGCTGACCATCCTGCAAACCTGCACACAGGAAAGTGACGTATGGAATCAAATAGCCCAGAAACGGTCTTCAAGTATTCGGGACAAGTTTGAAAACACTCTCAGAGTTCTTTACAGTGGGGGTGATGGGAACCAGGCGTCGCCATGACTACAACACAAATATGGACATTTTATTTACTATCCAAAACCACCAGTGAACCTACACGAGTCTTCTGAGTTTATATGGAGCGTTGATGATGGAAAATAGTGGAAAATCTGAAATAATACGTTTTCTTTGGGGACTATTTGGCCTCACAGCGCCCTGCATGTATCCCTCCACCATGAATGGAGCTTAAGTTCTCAAAACTATCATAAAACAGTGTCTCAGTCATCAGGCAGTGAATTCATAACCATTTCATGTAGTAACTTTCTGTGAGGGAGCTTTTAGAGGTGGACGTCTGGTTCCTATCACCACCACTGTGAACAGTTCTGACTCGGTAAGTTTATCTAGAACGGAGCGTTTCACACCAAACCTCTCTGAACCACTCTGAATGACTCTGTTTACAGGTTAATGGGGGAATTTTGGAAAATGGATGGACTTCCCCTTTAAAAATAGGATTGATTCCTTATAAACTAGATTTTCATTGTTGTGACTCTAACAGACTCTGTGGTGCTTTCAGCTCAGCTGTGTGTGTGTGTGTGTGTGTGTGTCGTGGGGGTGTGTGTGGGGGGGTATGGGGGGCTGTGTGCTGGTGAACAAGTATACAGTTGTAAATATCTGCAATCTACAGCACAATTGACTGTCTGTTGATAATCACTGATATTGTCACCTGCACTGAATAAATCATAAATAAATCATATAAACAGAGTTGTTCTCTCCTCATAGTATCATTATTAGTTAGCTGTGTTTATATATGAATGTCTTATATATGAAATATACACTTCATGTTCAGTTTGGATGCTGAATCTGGAGTTTCATGATCATAAATGTTCCTGAAGTTTATCTAAAGGTTTATATCTGCGTAAATGTGCTTGAGATTGGTTTCTAATACAAATAAACAGTGATGCTGACTGTGTATGACATTATTTCTAAAACAAAAATAAATAACTAAATTGAATTTTAAAAAATGAAAAAAATACAGTTTAGATTATTTTATTCTGGGGTGTGGAGCTTCAGACTGCTATAAATGATGTAATCTTAAAGTCATGATCTCAAAGATCAGCTTCTGTGCTTTAAAGTGTGACCTCATATGTGTATGTGACTGTTTAAGGTGATCTTCCTGAGGAGCTCAGTCTTCCTCACTCCGTCCTGTATCCCTCCTGGCGGAAATGAACTAAATCAGATTTTATTAGTCATTTCCGGTCTGTGGACCGTCCTGTCTTGCACAGACCCCAACAGCAGGCTTTACAACCGCTCTGTCGACGAGACTTTCCGATTTTAGCCGATGATCTCACGAACCGGAGCCTGGCCCTCCGATTTTAGCCGAGTGTTTACGAACCCGAGCGCGAAGCTCCATCAGAAAAGTTCTCGAAGTTTCCCGAACGCGCCACGAGTCTCCGGCGGTCACTCAGTCAGTCAGTCAGCCGGCAAACTGAACGCACAAGCGGTGGAGCGGCTCTGTCTCTCTCTGTCTCTCTCTCTGTCTGTCTCTCAGAGTTCAGGGTCTATCCGGTTATTTCTGTCTGTATTCGCGGTCTGTGTGCGGTGATGTCTGAGCTGTGTTATAACAGAGGCTGCGGACAGAGGTTTGATCCGGACAGCAATCCTGAGGGTGAGTTAGTTAACCTGTTAGTTCAGTTAGCAACATGCTAACACACAGAGAGCATTAACAACGAGACAGCTTTCAAATCTCACTTATACTTTATTATTATTATTATTATTATTATTATTACACTTTACCAGCGCGGCTGAAGTCAGCTTCGTATTCGCCAACTTCTCGTTATAACTGTCCAGTTCCACCTTAAATGGTTCAGATTTTCCCATTCCACCTTAAATAGTGTAGCAGCTACATTCTGGTGGAACTTTCCCTTTCCGCCTTAAATTGTTTGAATTTCCCCCGTTCTGTTAAAGGTGGAGCTTAAAGTTTTCGAAGTTTCCCGTTCCACCTTAAAAGAATCAGCCCCTAGAGCGCCCGAGTGTAACTGCTGCACCATTTCAGGTGGAACGGGAGGGTTCGAACAGTTTAAGTGCCACCTTTAATGGAACGGTGGAACTTCGAATAATTTAAGGCGGAATGTTCCACCTTAAATGCCACCAGAATGTAGCTGCTGCACCATTTAAGGTGGAACGACAAAGTTCGAACAGGAAGCCGATTTCAGCCCCGTGCTAAAGTGTGTTTGGTTGTTAAAGTGATTTACCTAAACTCAGTGAGATTTAATGAGGAACAAGTTTATCAACACTATTCATTATTATTACTATTATTATTATCATTATTATTATTATTATTATTAAGTATTCAGCTCTGTTTTAAGGCCATTGATTCCCAGTTAATATAAATTTTGTAATAATAAACACCAACCGGTCACTTTATAAGGTCCACCTCCTTGTTTCTACGCTCATTGTCCATTTTATCAGCTCCACTTACTATATAGGTGCACTTTGTAGTTCTACAATTACAGACTGTAGTTCATCTGTTTCTCTGCATACTTTGTTAGCCCCCTTTTACCCTGTTCTTCAGTGGTCAGGACCCCCATGGACCCTCACAGAGCAGGTACTATTTGGGTGGTGGATCAAAAATATCCAGCCAACATCGTCCTGTGGGCAGCGTCCTGTGGGCAGCGTCCTGTGACCACTGATGAAAGCCTGGAGGATGACCAACACAAACTGTGCAGCAGCAGATGAGCTTTCGTCACCCTTGATAGGGAATGCTAACTTCTGCTAGCACATATATAGGATTTCCCTTTATATGTTAGCATCAAGCTAACAGTGGTGAATTTTACCCGTAGTGTGTTCAATATTCTGCATTCTTATAAAAGATGGTTCTTCAAGGATGCTTGATTAAAGGGTTCTTTGCATCATGAACGTGTTCTTCAGATTGATGGAGAATGTTCTGTAGACGGTTCTATATAGAACCTCTTTGAAAAGTGTTCTTCTGTTGTAACAAGAACCCTTTTTGGTACTACATAGACCCATTTTCTTTACTACAGAACCCTTGAAGAACCCTCTTTTTGAGAGTGTGTGTGTGGAGTTAGCGTAGTCTCAGTCTGGATCAGCCCTTGATCAGTGTGTGTTCCACTCGGTCACTCAGTAAACGTTCTGATATGTTAGGTATTTTAAGTATTCCTGGATCAGCCTGTGGGCCGTGTTCTCCTCTCAGGTCCAGAGTCCAGACGTTTAGTCTGAGCGTCTGTGTCCTTGTTGCAGTAGACGGTCAGAGTGTGACGTGCAGAAGTATTAGCACCCTTAGGCCGCCTAAATAGCTCTCATTCCTGGGCTGGCTGATAAGGCGCTCTGCATCATGGCATACCTGCTATTACTGACCACCAACTGGGCTGTTTACTGTGGAGTGATAGTTCGGCAGAATGTCTCCAGCCCCCCACCTTAATTCAGATGTAGATGGTCAGTGTTTGGTGCTACAGGGATGCTATGAGGTTACTGTAAATAACAGTAATAAAAGCTTATATCCCACCTGTTACTAAACAATAGTAGCCGTCTGTATGTCTGAGCCACACAGCTGGTCACTTATTCGCATTTTCTGTTCCACCTTTAATGGTGCAGCAGGTACATTCTGGTGCCATTTTGGGTGGAACTCTCCCGTTCCACCTTAAATTGTTTGTATATTCCCATTCCACCTTAAATTGTTTGTATATTGCCATTTCACCTTAAATTGTTTGTATACTCCCATTCCACCTGAAATTGTTTGGATATTCCCATTCCACCTTAAATTGTTTGAATATTCCCATTCCACCTTAAATAGTTTGTATATTCCTGTTCCACTTTGCATGGCAAATTTTCCCACTCCACCTTAAATTGTACCAGTTTTCCCAGTCCACCTTAAATGGTGGTGCGGTTACGTTGTTGTGCCATTTAAGGTGGAATTTGCCTGTTCCACCTTAAATTGTTAGAATTTTCCTGTTCCACTTTAAATAGTTTGAATTGCCCTGCTGCATTATTTAAGGTGGAATGGAAAAATAACACAGGAGTCTATCGTCTCTGACACGTTTGAGTCGGGTGATGATTCAGTCACGCAGTTAGCATCATGCTAATTGGTGGGTATCAGCTTTCATTGCTTGTTAGCTACATTAGCCTCGTAGCTCCAGTGCTAAAGCTACAGATGCCCCCTCGTGTGGGCTGGTGGTCTATTCTCGGGGTGAGGTGGGTGAGGGGGTGTGATTGTCGGACTGTCTCTTTGCTGTGCCGCGGTCTGTGTCCGGTGTCAGAGCGGTGAGCAGTAACAGTGCTGTGGTGTTTGGTTACAGATGCCTGCACGTTCCACCCCGGGGTGCCAGTGTTCCACGACGCTCTGAAGGTGAGAACCTCTCTCTGTGCTGAGGCCTGTAGTGAGTTCTCTTTAAAAGAGTTAAAGCAGTTCGGTTCTCTGCTCTGCCTGATGTGCGTGTGTCTGTGTGTGTGTGTGTGCGTGTGTATGTATGCATGTGTGTATGTATGCGTGTGTGTGTGTGTGTGTCTGAATGTCTGTTTGTGTGCATGTGTGTGTGTGTGTCTGTGTGTGTGTGTGTGTGTATGCGTGTGTGTGTGTGTGTATGTATGCATGTGTGTATGTATGCATGTGTGTGTGTGTGTGTGTGTTGCAGGGCTGGTCCTGCTGTAAGAGACGCACCACGGATTTCTCAGACTTCCTCAGCATCTCAGTGAGTGCAGACCTACTCAGTTCACCTCCACAGCTCTGAAGGCCTTCACACCCAGCGGGGGTCATTATAACATCACTGAATAATTTCAGCACATGACCCCCCTGTTTTGTGGTTTAGCTCCAGATGTCTGTAGTTAGGGACGCTGAACAGGCTTTACCGGCTGTTGTTCTGGGCGTGTCCTCTGTCTGATGTGAGTGTGTTGTGCTCAGGGCTGCACTAAAGGCCGCCACAGTAACGAGAGACCTCCTGAACCGGTGAAGCCGGAGGTGAAGTCTTCAGGAGAGAAGAAGGAGCTGGAGGACCTGAAGCCCCGGTTTGATGAGTACATCATTCAGGCTCCGAAACCGCTGGAGTTCATCCAGAGACCCAGGTACAGACAGACCGGTCTGCAGACATTCATACCCACGTCTGTGTGTAAAGTCTTTCCTGAGTCCTTCGTAACTGTAGTTAGTCTCAAACTGTTCTTTCACTAAATTTGGTCTTGTCTGTTCAGATTCAGTCGTTTAGTCCAGTTTACACAAGATTACACTCAGAGTTGGGTTAAATCAAACATGTCTGATAAACTCTGACTGGTCTGAAACACGATCAGAAGGAAGTAAATCTGACTTTGTTACTCTGCGCCGCTCACACACGACTCTCTATCCAACTGTTGACTCTGACTGACCCAAAAATCTGAAGACTAGAGCCGACCAGCTCAGACTCAGACTGAGAATCAGGGCCAAAATCAGGGTGAAAGTCAAGTAATGTAATCCCAGCTTAATAGAGATCAGATCTGAGCAAAAAATGAGATTTGAGCGACGAGGCTTGTAATGTGAAAACAGCCAAAGATGGTGGATAAAGGTCAAACCTGCCTCTCTGCTTTCATATTCACCAACTGTAACTCATCTACGGTTCAGACTGAGGTACAGACTTTATGGCTCACTGCACGACTGTGACTCTGGTAGCAGCGCAACGACTGGATGGACAGTACAAACTGAGGCAAAATGCCAATTTACAACACCTGAAAAGGGAACTGAATGTGCTAAGACCCACTAAACTCTAATGCTGTTCACATTCACCACATTAAGGAATGATCTGGTTCTGTAGATGAATGCTGGTGCATGGTGAGGTCATCAAAATCAAAATACCTTTACATGTTTATTGTTGGAAGATTATTGGAAAACTGCGGTTTAGTTTTATAAATGATCTGATAAATCGTTTCAGTGCAGACGAGCCGTTGGTGGAGCTGCAGCAGAAGGTCTCTCCCTCCCTGAGACAGGCTCTCGAGAAACTCAGACTCGCAGAGACCAATCAGAGCACAGAGAAAGGTAAGGCTCCGCCCACAACATTTAGAGTCAGCTATTCATTCAGCCTAATGAGAAACTGTAGAACAGACTCGGTTTATATCACAATACCTACATTTAGAGTCAGTTATTCATTGAACCTAGTGAGAAACTGTAGAACAGACTCGGTTTATATCACAATACCTACATTTAGAGTCAGTTATTCATTGAACCTAATGAGAAACTGTAGAACAGACTCGGTTTATATCACAATACCTACATTTAGAGTCAGTTATTCATTCAGCCTAATGAGAAACTGTAGAACAGACTCGGTTTATATCACAATACCTACATTTAGAGTCGGTTATTCATTCAACCTAATGAGAAACTGTAGAACAGACTCAGTTTATATCACAATACCTACATTTAGAGTCAGTTATTCATTCAGCCTAATGAGAAACTGTAGAACAGACTCAGTTTATATCACAATACCTACATTTAGAGTCAGTTATTCGTTCAGTCTGGTGTTTGTTTGGGTATTTATGGTACCGTGTGTCATTCTGATGGTGTGTTTTTCAGAGGAGGGGGTGAACGAGGTGAAGATCGGGACGGCGTGTAAGAACGGAGGCTGTTCTAAGGTGCGCTGCGCTTTGTGTTCTCCTGCTCTGGAGCTGTTGTGTCGTGTTCTCTAGTCTGTGTTCTGTTCTCAGTGAAGAGAGTTTGTGTTTCAGACGTTCTCTGGGCCGAAGAGCGATGAGGAGCTGTGTTCGTATCATCCAGGAGGCCCCGTCTTTCATGAAGGGTGAGGACAAATACACACTCAGTGCACAGACAAGTTGACTAACTGACGCTTTAATCTTAATGTCGACAAGTCACTGATCACGTCATGATGAATAGTGATGGGCCGATCCACATTTCCTCAGTTCCGATCCGATTCTGGTACACAGCTGCCAATACCGACACAGATTCCGAAACCAGAGCTCTTACTTTAATTTACTCACTTTAATATTATCATTATTATTGCTGGTATTGGTATTAAAGTTACATCCTGAGGCTGAAAAAGACCAAACAGCACTTCTACATGTGACTGTGCCGCTAATTGTGATGACACTTGATTGTACACACTTAAAAAGATGGTTCTTCAAGGGTTCTTTAGTAAAAAAAAATGGCTCTATATAGAACCAGGAACACTCAGAAAACCCTTTGCATGATTAAATGGTTCTTTGCATCTTGAAAAGATTCTTCAGATTGATGGAGAATGTGCTGTAGATAGTTTTATATTCTTATAGCACCAAAAATGGTTCTTCTATTATGTTATAGGCTCGACATCATAACATAGAGGAACCCATTTAGGTGCCCATGTGCTGTAGATGGTTTTTACCCATTAAGAGTAAAAACCATCTACAGCACATTCTCCATCAATCTGAAGAATCTTTCAATCATGCAAAGAGTTTTTTATGTATTCATGGTTCTATACAGAGCTTTTTTCTGTACTAAAGAACCCTTGAAGAACGATCTTTTTAAGAGTGTACAGTTTGTGTATAGCTGTATCTGAAATGTATTTTCTGGATGGAGATTATTCCAACAGGCTGAGAAATCTGACCTTTTCCACTACAGATAGCGGCTGGTCATCGAGTATAATGACGTTCAGCAACTTCTCTGTGATCCTTTAGCCTGTGGGTTCCTCTGCTGGACGTTTATCGGGTTTCTGGAGAACGTCAGCGAGAGGCTCTGTCGGGTGGCGTCCTCCTGTCTGTTAGCATGAACTCCTGGTGCTTTGTCCCGTGAAATCTCTGCAGGTGCCTAAACTGGTTGTATGTACGACACAGCTGTACTTCCTCCCCTCGGCGCGCTGGCCTTATACACAAGTATCTTGCTTTTCGACGTTTCCAGACTAAAATGTCTCCAAACATGTCCAAATGACATTTTAGTCAAAAGCTGATGTCATTTACTCACTCAGTTACAGACTAAAGTTGCCGCGGGTTCATGGTAAGATGTGAAATGGAATCTGGATTGGTGACACATCTGTTATGTTACGTTACGGCGGGTTCATGGTCCAGCACGAGCTGTGGACTGGAAGCTGGAACAGTAGCTGGATTGGCCCTGTCCATCCGATATCCGATGAGTGAATGATGTCAATATCAGACTAAATACCGATATAGGATCGGATTGGACTCCCATTACACACCGAATGCGATTTATTCAGACAACAGTAAATTAATTAAAGTGTATGTATAACTGAAATTTTCTCCGAACTCGTTCCGACTCCTGTGTACCATTACAGCCCCAGTTCGAGAACCCTCTGTTCCTCAGAGCTGTAAAGTAACTATGCTCTCTCTCTCTCTCTCTCTCTCTCTCTCTCTCTCTCTCTCTCTCTCTCTCTCTCTCTCAGGATGAAGTACTGGAGCTGCTGTCGGAGGAAAACGTCCGACTTTAACTCTTTTCTGTCTCAGGAGGGATGCAGTAAAGGAACCCATGTGTGGAAGAACGCAGAGGTGAGAGAACACACAGAACCCCTCATTAAACTGTTAAACACCAGGAGTATTAATCAGTTATTAATCTTACACTGAACTTTGTGTTATTCAGTAATCATTAGGAATTTGTAGCTACTATGAATTATTTACTAACGACTATCAATCATGAGTTTGTTTGGTGTATATTAGAGTGATACTAATGTAATACCACACCAGTTTTTTGATGATACACAGTATTTATTTTGATATAATTAATAATATTTCTTTCACAGACAAAAACGAGCAATGTTTAAAAAACACAATAAAATACTATGAATAAAGTTATTTATATCTAACATTTCACTCTGAACTGCACTAAATCCAGTTAAAGTGATTTCTGTCTTAAGATTCTTAAAGCTGTGATCAACTTGGTGGGATTTTAATTTTTTTCTCTATTTAATCATGGATTTAGAAATTTCTGAATGTAAGTTAGTCGGTTTAATTATGATCCCTAGTCAGAAATCTAGTTATAGAAAATGAGTTTGTTACTACTGTAGGAAACAAGATTATTTTAGTTATGGATATTTGAGTTTGTTTTTGAAACTGCATGCATTTTATCATATTATGTTAGTTTTTATTTGTTTTTCTGAATTCTGCAGGTTTGTTAGTCATAGTGAAGTCTTAAACAGGACGGATTGTGCTCTGTTTGTGATCAGTCACCCAGTTGGAAAGTGTTTATGTACTGACGATATTCACGATATTCTCAGAAAAGCTTATTAATGACACATTGTGATTATTATTATTATTATTATTATTATTATTATTATTTATTATTATTGTGATAAATTATAAACACCTGATAAATACCTTGGACTTGTGACCTCATTCAGTGTTTGTATTTTCAGAGCTCTGTTAGATGTTTACAGCACCGTCTGCGCAGCACTAACACAGCTACCCCGATATAACTGACCTCACTCACTGTGAAGTTATACATGTGCTGGTACTTTGTGTTTTTATCTGTTGTTTTGCCCTATTTTGCCATGTATGTCCTTGTCTACACATACGTTATGTATGCACTGATGCCCTTCCACTGTCCACGGTGAAGCTGCAGCCCTTTTTCATTTACATATCACTGCTGTCACGAAACCTCTTATCTCCAAAAAGGGAACTTTACAGGAGAAGGAAAAACATTCTTAACTTTTAATGGAAGTAAATGGAGAAAATGAAGTGATTTTGGACCGTTACTATTGGTCTGTTCATCATCACATTTTAACAGAACATAGAAGACAACTGCCTTTTTCAGATGATGTTAAAAAATGAAAAACAACAAAAAAGGAGATACGAGATTTTGGATTTTCTCTTGACAGCAGTGATATGTACCAGCACACTGTGTTAATGACAGTAAATTAAACTAAAACAATGTCATGGTGTTTATATACGTTTTTCTTTATTGGTTTGTTTCTTTATTTGTTTGTCTTTGTTTATTTGCTGGTTTATGTTTGTTTCTCTGCAGGGAAAGAAGGTGGTGCCGTGTCGGTTTGATTGGCATCAGACCGGCGGTCAGGTGACCGTCTCCATCTACGCCAAAAACTCCAACCCTGAGCTGTGTTCTGTACGGGCCAACAGCACCACGGTCAGTGTGGGACCTTCACACCTGTGTGTCTCTGTGTGTGCGCGCACGTGTGTGTGTGTGTGTTTGTGTAGCGGAACCTGAAACATACACTTACAACATTATCTTCAGACCACAACAGATCAAACTGCGCCCACAAACGTGTTTTTCATAGCTACTCTTGTGATGAAGGTAGTAGTTGGTGATATAGCAGTTATATTTCTTCTCAAGGTGTTATTTTGTCATTACTGTTATGCTGACAGGTCAGAACTCGCTGATTCACCTCTCATGTAGTGGCTGCAGTCAGTTAGTCCAGTTTATGGTCAAAGGACCAACATCAGACTGTGATGAGTTAATGAGTTAACAGGGAAAGCCGCTGTGGGCTTTACACTCGCCTTCATCTCGTTAGGGTTAGAGACACACACTGACATCTGACTGTATATTGATCAGTTCTGTTTTTACTGTTTCACCCAATAAAAATACTTTAGATTCACTTCAGCTGTTAAATATGGTTTTCATTAAAAGTGAAGGGATGTCCAGAATAATAAGCCACTGTTAATCTACAAAACAGTTTTAAATAAGCATCCAGAATGATTTTATTTGAGAAATATATACATAAATACACTATACGGTGATGTATACTGAAACCGTCAGTTTGACTGGAAGGTTGATTTGTGGGCGGAGCCTGAATAGAATAGTTTATTTTTTTTATTTTTGAAGAAATTTGAGAGGCCACACCTCAATGGTCTCTAAACACTCCTCCCTCAGCCCGAACAGACGTAGCGACAGTAACTAAGGGAGGCAGGACTTGTTGGACCTCTGCGAATGGTCAGTTACGCAGCTGGATACGTTTCTCTGACGCCTCCTAAAACAAAGAAACGTTGTGATTTCTGGTTCTTGCGCTGCTCTGTTAAGTTCTGCATGTTCTCCTGACGTGATTGACCGGTGTGTCGTTCTCCTCGGCAGGTCTGTATCAGTGTGATCTTCGAAGGAGAGAAGGAGTTTGAGCAGAAGATCATTCTGTGGGGGGTGAGTTCACACCGAAAACTGCACACTGCAGCTTAAATTTACCATATACGGTTTATTTATGATGTAGCTTATTAACTAAACATTCTGCGATTACTAAACTGTACCACCAGGTGGCGCTTCAGTGTAAAATGACTTTTAAATTTCTTCTCCCTTTAGAAGAAATTTAAAAGTCATTGTTGTTTTTGTGTAGCACTGTTTATATCTCTGCATAATTACATCATTAATTAAATGGTTATTTTCTGTCTGGATGTGTTTTTGTGTTTGTTTTGATATAAAAAAATGACAAACAGTAAAAATGTAGACTAAATGCAATAATAATGTCTCATCAAATTCAAATCCTTATAAAATATCTCTTTCTACTGACACACAGTAAAGTAGTACGAACTGAAAGTTATACTCTGTTACTGATTAAAGATTCTGCTGGTGTAATTACAGAGCCCTACCACTAGATGGTACTTAAGAGTAAAACAGCACATTATATGTACAGTTGCTGTAGATTTCATGTGTCAAAACTCTATTTGGCCTGCGAAATTATTTTAATTTTTTATTATTATTAGTCTGTTTCACTCTGAGCTGCACTACAGTTCCCAGCATGCACTGCAGCATGTGCATTCTAACCCCCTTTCTCCAACAATGATCTACAGGTCAGCGGATACACAAAACAGAAAGATGCCTGCTGTTTACTTCAAGCGAATAAGCAGTTTTTAAAAATCTCCTGGGACATATAAAGAGGTTTAAGAGTATCTGTAGCTTATTTTGGCTATTGTTTTATATAAAACACTATTTTTAATTAAAATTATTTTTTGAATAGTTCAAGCATTCAGTGCCTATTTTGCTGATGCAGTTTTGGCATATTTTAAATAAATAATGGCCAGTTGGGGTCATGACAAAATGTTAAAGAAAGAGCTGACCCCTCGGTTTTGTAGAGATTTTTTATTACGGACCTTTCAGTGTTTGAGTTTGACTGTAGATGGAGAAGAACCTTCAGAGTAAATAAAGACGAAGGGACGCTCGTTTCTGAGCTGCTGTTTGTGTTTCTGTCTTCCAGGTGATCGACGTCAGTAAGAGCATCGTCAACATGATGGCCTCCAAAATCGAAATCGCCCTGAAGAAGGCGGAGCCTATGTCCTGGGCTCGGCTGGACCTGCCCCCTCCTCAGCCCCCGTCCACCAATGAGACGAAAGAGAAGCAGGCCGGAGAGAAAGAGTCTGTATGACACAAACTCAGAGAGCCGAGCGCCGTTACTCTCAGTGACCCAGCAGGTTCTCTGATCTGAACTGACCACACGTCTCAATCTCAGTCTCATACATCCTCACTCCGTCCTCCACCTTCACGTTCTCTCAGTCTGTCTGAGCTCCAGATGCAGACCTGAACAGCCTGAACACAGCCGATAATCACCTCAGCGGCTTTATCGGGTTTTGAACCCACAACCTCCTCATAACAGCCTTACGCTGCATTTATGCTGCTCCAGCGTGCCGAACGGACGTGCGCTTCTTCCCTGTTCAGTTGGCTGAGAGATTTCCCTATGAAATCTATTTGAAAAGTACACTTGCTGAGTTGATTTATGTAATTAATGCTTCTGTTTCCTTAATAATCAGAAAGCCAAGAAAATACGCATCTTTAAGCTAATATTTTCCAAAACGTTAATATATTAAATTGGAAAGATCAGGATTTAGGTCATTGATTACCACTGGATTATCATCCAACTGAGATTTAAAATTTAGGACGTAAACAGTTGTTTAAATGCAGTAGATGTCGCCGCTGGTCCTCGCCGCGCAGGAACATTTGAAAAGTGGAACTGATGTTTCACACCTTGAGCTGCAGACACGAATCACGCAAACGCCAGCTGCCTCCTGATTGGTTAGATGCATTACATTGGCCGGATTCATTTACATAAAGTTCAGCTTTGCTCAACTTTTCGACGCGCTGGACGCATCATGGACCGCGCAGCCTGTCTGAGGAAACCGCCGCTTCCCTTTGAAATTGAATGGGATATCCCATTCAGTTTCAAAGGGCTCTGACTTTTTGGTTCTTTACTGTGTAAGAACTTTGTGTTGTGCTGTTCTCCACAGCTGTGCAGTGCTGTACAGAGCACACAGGGTTCCTGTCTTCATTCCTGCCTTCGTTTGTTTTTTTTGTGTGTATAACGACCTGCATGTGTGATGATCTTGTGTCTGAGCGTCTCAGCACAACTGGAGCCTTACTGGGCCCCCCAGCCTGGTTAACCCGGCCACCCGCTGTGCTCTCAGTGCTCAGTGAAGGCTGGACTGTAATCAGAGTTACTGTAGAACTGAATAAACACTGCAAGATACTGAAGTGTGAGCTGCTCCTGTCGTCTGTTTCTGTGTTCTTCACTGCAGAGAAACACACTTTGGTTCTGTTTTAACCCTCTAACAGAGCATCTAGACCCATTAATGCAGTGGGTACCAGTCCTCCGACCAGTGGACACCGACGACGTCCGCGAGAGAGAGACAGAGAGCTCGGTGCTCCGCCTCCCCGTCACCCCCTGCTCCACAGCTTGGCTGCTGGGATTGAACAGGAGGCGTAGTCTAGCAGCCTCGCTGCAGAACAGGCGGTGGAGTTCCGGATTCGTGACACAGCTGACGTCCATTGGTGTGCAAGGCTCCGGCACCAACAATGGCCATGAGAGGGGCAGGAAGGCGGTGCCCGTTGGTCAGACGACTAGTACACAGTGATTTAATTCTTCCTGAATGTCTAAAACTCTTCACAAACCTTAAAAACGCCCCACAACGTTCTCTAAAGCAGGGTTCTCTAAAGCAGCGTTCTCTAAAGCAGCATTCTCTAAAGCAGGGGTCTCTAAAGCAGTATTCTCTAAAGCAGCATTCTCTAAAGCAGCGTTCTCTAAAGCAGGGGTTCTCTAAAGCAGCGTCCTCTAAAGCAGGGGTCTCTAAAGCAGCGTTCTCTAGAGCAGCGTTCTCTAAAGCAGTGTCCTCTAGAGCAAAGGGCCCTAAAGCAGTGTTCTCTAAAGCAGCATTCTCTAAAGCAGGGTTCTCAATACGGTAAAACACACACATAACACACACATCCTGCACTGCAGAAACTCTGTTCTACACTCTTAAAAGAGAGGGTTCTTCAAGGGTTCTTTAGAAAATGGTTCTATATACAACCATCAACACTCAAAGAACCCTTTGCATGATTAAATGATTCTCTGCATCATGAAATGTTCTTCAGATTGATGTAGAATGTGTAGTAGATGGTTCTAATTAGCACCTTTTTGAAAAGGGTTCTGTATAGCACCAAAAACGATTCCAATATTCTTACAATTCTGATAACCCCTTTTTGGTACTATAAAGAACTCGTTCATGTATATAAAAGGGTGTACATACGGTTCTAATGAAGTTACATATTTGTGTTTGTTCTCTGTGTAAATTAGTTCTGCAGGGAACAGATTTTAATGTACAACCACTGTTTATTTACTGAATGCAGCAAAAACATAAGTGCAAAAGTGACAGCGCTTTTATTTTTTATTATATTTTGTGTTAAATTGTGCAAATAAATGTAAATTGTGCAGAATTAAAGTCATATTTACGTGAGTTCTTTACAGGAACATGGAAAACGTTAATGTGTGACCAGATAAGGTTTCAGACTGAATTTATTTTGTCCAAGTGGAAAACAGGAAACATCTCAAGGCAATAAATGTGCAGACATTAAGTCAGTGTTTGAAACCCCCCCTGGTGTTCGGGCGTCCCGTGTTGGCGGGCTGCTGGCTCTCTCACTATAGCGGCGCTGAATGAATGTTTGGTTTAGCAATTCTTCTTCTTTAAATGATGTTTTCTAGTTTGGGAATGTGGTCTTCACACATTATCCCTCTGGGTTCTGAGCTCGATTTATTCATCTCTTCTTAAACTCACCTTTAAAGGCTCTTCATATAACATGATCCTCATATGTTTCATATCAAAATGCTCTGTTATTTGAACTTGAATTTGAATTTGAATTTAGACGGTTTGCAGATTTACAGACAATCATAACACCAGCAAAACTTTGCCAAATGTTTCAGTAGTGACTGTTTCAGTAGTGATTCTTTCAGGTGTGACTTTCGGTAGTGACTGTATCAGTAGTGACTGTTTCAGGAGTGACTGTTTCAGTAGTGACTGTTTCAGGAGTGACTTTCGGTAGTGACTGTTTCAGTAGTGAAAACAAAGCCAGTACATGACCAGCAAACACAGCTTTGAACAGCTGTTCACACAGAAAGTCATCATATTTTACATTAAAACACTAAAAAGTTCAGAAATTGTGTTTCAGACCTTAGCCCCGCCCATTTAGCCTACAACAGCTTAGCTCCACCTATTCACACTGACCTCGGCCTGAACTGGTTTCTGAATGAGGCACAATACAGTACAACCAATCAGAACAGAGCTCATTTACATATATCAGTCTTAAAGGCACAGTAACAGAAACAGCCTGTTTAACTGAGGGGCTGAAAATGATCATGTAGGAATGAATTATGACTGATTTTGATACATAAAACCTCTCAGACATTATAAATGGAGCTCAGAGGGACAAACAGAACAAAGCCCAGTTAAGTGTTGGTACCGGCCCGTTAAATCGGGCAGTTCTCAGCTCGACTGTCCGGTTAACATTCAGATCAGTGTTGATGAGTTTATGCAGGCAGCTTCAGGTCAGTCTGATCTGATGAAAAGGTCAGAGGTCATGGGGGGCTGACCTCATGCGACCGGGTGGAGTGTGTTGGCGGCGGAGTTGACGGTAACCGCAGCGATGCTGATCTGCCGTCTGACCTCGTCCCAGGCTCTGTCGGGGTCGGCAGCGTTCTCGATATCAAACAGAGCATCATAAACGCCCGGAAATGACTCACCCGCATATTTATTATGACTGCTGGGAGCAAAGACCACATGCCTGAAAACAGACAGACACACAGAGACAGACAGACACAGACAGGCAGACAAACAGACAGAAATAATCAGTTTACTGCTTCAGACAGATGGACAGACAGACAGATCACCTCTATACAGGTGTTTACCTAGAGGCAGGTGTTCACTTGTATACAGGTGTTTACCTAGAGGCAGGTGTTCACTCATATACAATTGTTTACCTAGAGGCAGGTGTTCACTTGTATACAGGTGTTTACCTAGAGGCAGGTGTTCACCTGTATACAGGTGTTTACTTAGAGGTAGGTGTTTACCTGTAGAAAGGTCGGCCTGGCAGCCCCAGTGGGTCGATGAAAGCGCGCTCCAAATACATCAGCTGATCGTTCACCATCCGAACAGCCAGGACACTGAGAGGGAGATACAGAGAGAGAGAGAGAGAGAGAGAGGAGTAGAGAAAGAGAGACAAGGAGAGAGACACAGAGACAAAGGCAGAGAGAGAGGAGTAGAGAGAGACACAGATGAAGACAGAGATAGAAACAGAAAGTGAGGAGTAGTGAGAGAGAGAGACAGAGAGAGACACCAACAGAGAGAGCGAATGAGACAGTTTAATGATGGAATGTGACTGATTAGTTTGTGCATTTATGTAATTATGTTCTACAATGGCTGGGTGGATAGAGTCTGTAGGGTGGAGTCTATGTGGTTGGGGTCTGTGTGGGCGGAGTTATGTGGGCAGGACATGTGTGGGCGGGATCTGTGTGACTTCATACTCTTTTGTGTCCAGTTTGTTCAGCCTTTGGTGAAAATCTGCTGCTGCTTGTGTAAAATTGTCCACAGCTGAAAAAAGAGCTTCTGAAAAACACAGGGAACAAATTACATCATGACTCAACACTGAACCCAACACTGAACCCAACACTGAACCCAACACTGAACTCCACACTGAACCCAACACTGAACTCCACACTGAACTCCACACTGAACCCAACACTGAACTCCACACTGAACCCGACACTGAACCCGACACTGAAACCGACACTGAACTCCACACTGAACTGACACTAACCCCAACACTGAACTGCAAACTGAACTGCACACTGAACCCGACACTGAACCCGACACTGAACTCCACACTGAACCCCACACTGAACCCGACACTGAACTCCACACTGAACCCGACACTGAACCCGACACTGAACTCCACACTGAACTCCACACTGAACTCCACACTGAACTCCACACTGAACCCGACACTGAACTCCACACTGAACCCAACACTGAACTCCACACTGGACCCGACACTGAACCCTACACCAAACTCAGCACTGAACTCCACAATGAACTCCACACTGAACCCGACACTGAACTCCACACTGAACCCGACACTGAACTCCACACTGAACCCAACACTGAACCCAACACTGAATCCGACACTGAACCCAACACTGAACTCCACACTGAACCCGACACTGGACCCTACACTGAACCCGACACTGAACTCCAGACTGAACCCAACACTGGACCCGACACTGAACCCTACACCAAACTCAGCACTGTGAAGTTCTAGAAATACAGTGGGCTTATAGTGAGTTATACTCTTAAAAAGATGGTTCTTCAAGGGTTCTTTAGTAAAGACAGTGGTTATATATAGAACCATGAACACTCAAAGGACCAGAGGCATTTTGAAATGGTTCTTTACATTATGAAGTATCAGAGTCTCTTAAAGGATGTGGTGCATTTTAGTTTTAATTTAGGTAAAAATCTGGTGAGCACCAGATACGGATGTGGTTTATTCATTTATTTTTTGAGAGTATCTGGTGCTCACCTGTAAAAGACCCCACATCCTTTCAGAGGCTCTGTAAAATGGTCAAAATAAATAATTTCTCCATTAAGTTCCAATAATAGTTAATAGTTTTTTTCTTTTACTGTTATCTTTTTGGAGATACAAGGTTTTGTTCCAACAGTGACAACATGCTGATATCAGTGTAGAGTCTTATTTCTTCTAAATACTGTTTAATTGAATGTGTTCATTAACTCTAATAGATGTTTGAATATTAAAATGAGTTATATTTTAGCAGTTCTACTGTACGTGAGTGCTGTGAGTTACCGAATGTGATGCCGTAACGCTGTATGGCCTCCGGGTGTTTCAACGCGAGCTGCTGGATGGTGTTGGCATACTGGGTGAGCGAGCGGGCGTATTCCTTACAGTCTAGTGGGATGATGAGGGCATCGGCCAGTCGGAAAACTAGCCCCGCCCGCACCCGGCCCACTGCCTCCAGCCGCCGAAACGAGGGGTCATAAAAACGCTCCACAAGTTCGAACGTCTCGTACACACTGTGGTACACCGGGTAGCTGCTGTAACGCTCTGTCTTCTGGAACACGACAACAGCACAGCGTTAAAGCAGCAGTTATTCCATTAGCTATCACGCTAATGTAGCATGCACCCCACCAAATAGCATGGTGCTAACTGCCTGCTAAGTCACAAACTCTACATGAAACACATGGGCTACAGTCTCTAACGTTCACACTGTCACTCACCCTGTTTTTGGTGTATCTGGCTCTGCCGGACGTGATTCCCAGTCGGATAAAATACGCTTCAAAATCACTTCCAGAGCCCAGTTTACTGATCCTACACGGAAACACACAACAAAAACACCATCACATCATTTAACAGGCAAATCATTAGCCCCGCCCACTCACTGTACAACACGATAGCCCCGCCCATTCAGTCTACAGCAGTTTAGCTCCACCCATTCAGCCTACAGTAGTTAAACCCCACCATTCAGCTACAGCAGTTTAGCTCCACCCATTCAGCTACAGCAGTTTAGCCCCACCATTCAGCTACAGCAGTTTAGCTCCACCATTCAGTCTACAGCAGTTTAGCTCCACCATTATATCAACAGCAGTTTAGCTCCACCATTCAGCTACAGCAGTTTAGCTCCACCATTCAGCTACAGCAGTTTAGCCCCACCATTCAGCTACAGCAGTTTAGCCCCACCATTCAGCTACAGCAGTTTAGCTCCACCATTCAGCTACAGCAGTTTAGCCCCACCATTCAGTCTACAGCAGTTTAGCTCCACCATTCAGCCTACAGCAGTTTAGCCCCACCATTCAGTCTACAGCAGTTTAGCTCCACCATTCAGTCTACAGCAGTTTAGCTCCACCATTCAGCCTACAGCAGTTTAGCTCCACCATTCAGTCTACAGCAGTTTAGCTCCACCATTCAGCTACAGCAGTTTAGCTCCACCATTCAGTCTACAGTAGTTTAGCTCCACCATTCAGCTACAGCAGTTTAGCTCCACCATTCAACCTACAGCAGTTTAGCTCCCACCATTCAGCTACAGCAGTTTAGCTCCACCCATTCAGTCTACAGTAGTTTAGCCCCACCTTTCAGCTACAGCAGTTTAGCTCCACCATTCAACCTACAGCAGTTTAGCTCCACCCATTCAGTCTACAGCAGTTTAGCTCCACCATTCAACCTACAGCAGTTTAGCTCCACCCATTCAGTCTACAGCAGTTTAGCTCCACCATTCAACCTACAGCAGTTTAGCTCCACCCATTCAGTCTACAGCAGTTTAGCTCCACCATTCAGTCTACAGCAGCTCCAGGCTTCCTCTAATCCTCCTCTCTGGTATGCTGAAGCTCTCTTTTACCCATAATGCTGCTCTCTTACCGTGGAGCGTCCCGGTTGTTAGTCCAGTTGTCCCGTTTGTGCCAGCTCTCATACAGACTGACCCTCCCTTCACCTTCCTCCGGACTCATCACCTATAAACACGTTATTACCTGCTATTAACTGTTTATACCACATCTGTAACAGAATAAAGCATGACTCCCAAAAGTTATTCAGTTATTACACAGTTACTCAGGTACTAAGCAGTTACTAGTCTAGGACTACATAGTAGTACTAGTAGTAGGACTAAATCAAGCCAATAACTGTTAATTAACTGTTAATTAACCATCCTAATGGTCTAAATGGTTACTAGATAATTACAAGATGAAACCATTGTAAAGGGAGACAATAACTAATTAGGTACTTAGGTAATTGCAGAGTTAATTAATGAGCTCATTTCATAGTGAGGGTTGTGCACAGGATTATGATGTATAATACACAAATAAAGGTGTTCTAGAAAGCGATTAATTGATTGTAGTTATGGTTTAATAAAGTGATAATAAACAGACAGTGAAATTATCAGCTCTTGTTAAGGTTTGATGATATAATTAGCAGATCACTGTAATGCCTGCTCTGCTGTTAGTTACACTGATTTTATACCAAACCTGTCCTTTAATACACTCACACACCTCAGCCTCCCACACTGATATACACATTGTACGCTTCTGAATAGTGACTGTTGACCTTACCAGTTTAGTGATGTCATACACCAGGGTGTGGAGCGAGGGGGTGCAGTCCACCCTCAGTGTGTACATACCTGCACACAGAGACAGTCAGGAAACGTAGAGAACCTTATAGACCTACTGAGTTCTTTATGAACACCTGACAGAACCGTGATCTGATTTCAGGTTCTCGCTGCTCAGGTGGGAACACATTTTGCCAAAGTTCTCCTTTTGCAGTGTAAACTGGGTCATCCTAATCTTGGGCCACACCCACATTTGTCCTGCCCACACAACTTAACTAAACTGTGTGTGGACAGTCTGTGTTTGAGTCGGAGAAACGTAGCGAGAAAGCTAACCACTATGTAAAAACTAAACACCAAACGAAAGATAACCTCCAAGCAAAAGCAGTTGCTACTGTATAACAGGTAGTTGCTAAGATATTGCTAGGCAGTTGCTATGGTATCCCAAGTGGTTGCTACGGGGCTGCTATGGTATCCCAGGTGGTTGCTAAGGTGTTGCTAGGTGGTTGCTGTGTTATATCAGGTGGATGTTAAGGTGTTGCTAGGTGGTTGCTATAGTATCCTAGGTGTTTGCTAAGGTGTTGCTAGGTGGATGCTAAGGTATTCCAGGTGGTTGTGAAAGTGTTGCTTGGCATTTACTATGGTGTCCCAAGAGGTTGCTAAGGTGTTGCTAAGCAATAACTATGGTGTCCCAGGTGGCTGCTAAAGTGTGGCTAGACAGTTGCTATGGTGTCCCAGGTAGTTTGCCATGGTATTGCTATGTGGTTGCTGTGGTATGCAAGGTATCTCAGGTGGTCACTAAGGTGTTGGTAGGCCATTGCTATGGTGTCCCAGGTAGTTGATAGGGTATTGCTGAGTGATTGCTGTAGTATCTTAGGTGGTCATTAAGCTGTTGCTAGGTGGTTGCTAAGGTATGTTTGTGTATGTTTGTGTGTAGATTGTGTGTGTTTGGTGTGTAGAGTGTGTGTGGTGTGTGTAATGTGTGTGTGTGTAGAGTGTGTGTGTGTGTGTAGAGTGTGTGTGTGTGTGTAATGTGTGTGTATGTGGTGTGTGTAGAGTGTGTGTGTGTAGTGTGTGTGTGTGTGATGTGTGTGGTGTGTGTAGAGTGTGTGTGTGTGTAGAATGTGTGTGGTGTATGTAGTGTGTGTGTGGTGTGTGTAGAGTGTGTGTGGTGTGTGTGGTGTGTGTAATGTGTGTAGAGTGTGTGGTGTGTGTAATGTGTGTGTATGTAGAGTGTGTGTGTGTGTGGTGTGTGTAAGTGTGTGTGTGTGGTGTGTGTAGTGTGTGTGGTGTGTGTAATGTGTGTGTATGTGTGTGTCTGTGTGTGTGGTGTGTGTGTGTGTGTGTGTGTGTGTGTGATCATGATGTCAGAACAGTGTTTAATCCCGTGTCTGCAGTGTTTCTGACTCTGTAATAAGGTTAGAGACATTAGGCTCATGGAGTGTATATACAGCGTGAAAAAGTTTCAGCCCCTTGAGCTCCTGTCTATGGAAGGAATTTCGCCTTTGAACGATCGTTTAGAAAAGCACCAGCAGCCTAATCAAGTATAGATCCTATGATCCTGTAAAGTTTCGATGTTAGGGTTGGGGTTGCCTCAAAAACTGCAGGATGAGAAACTGAAGGAGTGAAGTAGAGAAACTGTTAAAGTGAAGGAGATCCTTCTTTAAGACTTAAGACTTCACTGGATGTTTAGCAAGAAACTCAGTTCAAGTACATAAACATTGTTAATATTTTACACTGGGTTCTCTGGGAAGTGTTTGTGTGTGTGTGTGTCTCACCCTCGATGGCTGAGTCAGCATTGATGTACGCAACGGCTCTCTCCTGTAGCATTATAGCATTCTCCTACAAACACACATACGCACACACACACACACACACACACACACACATATATTCACACTTAAATATAAATATATAACCAAAACAACACAGATGCATAGAGGTTCTTTCTCTCTCTCTCTCTCTCTTTCTCTCTCTCTCTCTATTGTACCTCTGCCCATTCTGTGGATCCCTGCAGTCCAAACTCTTCAGCATCCCAGCTGGCGAAGATCAGAGAGCGCCTCGGACGCCAACCTGACAGGAGAAACGCAGCCCTTCCTTCAAATTACATTAATGAATAATAACGAGTGCAGAACTGTAAGAGAAGCATATGAGCAGCATATTTAAATCGGTGTACGTAGAGCTATATATGTAGAGCTGTATATGTAGAACCATATATACAGAGCAATACATGCAGAGGTATTTAAGCAGTATATGTAGAGTGGAATGTATTTGTAACATGGTATATAAGCAGTACAAATAGAGTGGTATGGAGAAGTATATAAACAGTATATATAAAGTGGTATATGTAGACAGGTATAAATGCAGTATATGTCAAGCCGTATATGTAGAACGTTATTTAAAGGGGGAGGTGTAGAGTGGTATATAAGCAGTATATGTAGTGCGTCATATGTAGAGTGGTATATGTAAAGCATTATATGTAGAGCAGTTTAGAAGAAGTATATATAGAGCGGCCTTTGTATGTGTGTGTCAGTGTGTGTGTGTGTGTGTGTGTGTGTGTGAGTGTGTGTGTGTGTGTGTCAGTGTGTGTGTGTGTGGATGTGTGTATGTGAGTGTGTGTGTACCTCTCTGTTTCAGTGCTCCTGCAGCTCTGACTGTCTCATGAACTACAGCTGCTCCAGTTACCGGATCAATCCCTCCAAACACCCACGCGTCACGGTGACCCCCCAGAATCACACACCTGTCTGAACACACACACACACACATACACACTGTGAGGAAAGTGTACATTTAGCTCCTGCTCTGTGTTCAGAGGAGTGGGTGGTGTACAGGTGGAGCTTCTTCCTGATGTGAGTTGTGAGTTTTGTCGTAACTGTTTTTTGGTACCCACTGTAACTCAGAGTCTGACAAGTGTACAGGACACACACACATCAGACAAATGACTTCAGAAATTAGCTTCTTATTCAAATCTCCCGCTCCACCTTAAATGATGCAGCAATTCCATTCAGGCCTGCACAGGTGGCAGAACATAACTGCCGCTCCATTTAAGGTGGAACGGAGGATTAGAACAGAACACCGGAGAATACGAAGCCAAATTCAGCTCTGTAGACATTTAGATGTGAAATAACATTTAGCAGCATTTTTGTGTTTGAAAGCAATATTAACAGATTTATCTGTAAATTGTTCAGTTCTGTTCTGACTATTTTGCATCCTAAACATATTTCACATCACTTTTTAACTGGTTCTTAAAATGGTTCCCATTAAACAGGTTTATTTATGAATTTAAAATGTTTTTATTTTATAATACATACGGCACGAATTATGGTGAAACCATCAGAAAGTGTAATAATACGGTGATGTAATTTTTGGCTGGACACTGTTAATAAGATGTTTATAGTGTCTGATCAGCTCAGAATTACAACGTTTGTGCAGGTGAGCAGGTTTGCAAATGAGCAGGTGACAGTGGTGGGCGAAATACACAAATCATGTACTTGAGTTAAAGTAGAGATACCCAAGGTAAAATATTACTCCAGTAAAAGCAGAAGTCCCAAAAGTATCGAAAGTAAAAGTACTAAAAGATTAATGAACTTAATTCAACTTAGTTACAAGTTTAAGTTTAATAAAAAAACTTGCTTTAAGGTTCCTAAATATGTTTTCCTTTACTATATTATACTAAATTCAGAAAAAAGACATGTAGTCACAACTGCATATATGTACATATTTCTATACTGTGGTCTATTTACACAAAGTTAGGTTAGTTCCATTATTTATGTTGGAATAGACTCTCCCAAAATTTTACGCTGCTGCACTGATGTTGAACCGTGTGCTTGAACTGGGTCGGTATGACCAACAGGTCAAAACAACCTCAAAACAAAGTGCGCGCTGTGCCCTGATTGGTGCTCTTGCTTTGCGCTTCTTTCGTTTTGACATGTTACGTTTTTATAAACACATAAACCAAAAGGAACGACAGATTTCTCAAAATGTAGTGGAGTAAAAAGTAAGATATTTGACTTGGTGCTCTGTACCTGGCTCCTGAGCTCCTCTGATCCTGCCGATGACGTTGTAGATGCGGGTCACCTGGTTGTAGGTGTGGATGTTCATGCGCACTTTACTGACAGCACAAAACAAACAGAGTTTAAAACAAACCCTAAATCCTCCACCAGGTAAACGCCTTCAGCCCCTCTTACTCATGCATTATTATATTAATAGCTCATATCATTTTATCATTAACAGTTTCTTTAAAGATCATTACTGAGTTTAGAACTCAGAGTAATGTAGTAATAAGGGTGTCTTACTTTAGTATGAAGGCATCAGTGAATCCAGGCCCGATACGATAGGACACGTTCAGAGCTCCTCTCCAATCAGGAGGTGGCGAGGCTCCACCCATATTCCTACATCACAAACACAAATTCAGACCAGTTTCAGCTGAATTAGTTTCAGTTCACACAGTGTAAACAACAGTCGGCGACTCAGATGATGTAAATAAATGAATAAAAACATGAAAATTAAAATAAAACAGTTAGAAAGTTTTGATATGACAATATTCAACATAGATTTAAATATTATAAATTATAAACTATATAAACTAAGTTCACAATATTTAATATAAGCATCTGGAAACAAGAATTTATTAAATTAAAAATAATATACTGTAATTATCTAAATTATTCACAAATTTTTGTGAAGTTATCAGCTTAGAGATGTGATCACAATTTTTAAGACATTCCAGACATTAATTTTATTATAACTTTATTCTGGACATTATTATTATAATAATTATTTTTTTTCCAAATACAAAATTTATTACAACTTCTTTATGGATATTAATTTTATTAAAATTTTATTGTAGACATTAATATTACTAGAAATTCATTGCTTTAATGTATATTTAATGTTATTTTTATCAGTTTAGTCTTTCTCTGATTGACTGATAAACACTGAAAGATAACTCACTTTAGCAGATGAACGGCATCATCATAGCCAATAGGGTGCACAGGAATTTTGGGTAGCCCTGCCCCCTCCTCCAGTTTGGACCTATACGTGTACTCTACGGAAAGAAAAACAGAAATCGTTGTTGTAAGAAAACATTTCCAGGTAGAAGAAAAACATTGTTATCGTCTGTTGTTGTAAACGTTTGTGTTTCTATTGATCGATTTATCATAGATGTTCAAACACACAGAGTTAATGAGGGAGGTGATGTTTTCTCATATCAGATGTGTTATGTGTACCGTACAGTAAGTGCTGTACCTTTGGCGGGATATCCGGGGGTCAGTGGGTCTCCTGCTCCGTTCAGGTTTAGGACGTTTCCTCGTTGAGCGCCCCCTCCTGGCAGGTTCCATCCAGCAGGGTAGGGTTCTACACCCTGAGCACAGTAATCTGCCGGGTCTGAATACAGTATGATGCCTTTAGCCCCCGCTAACACTGCGTTCTTCACCTGAAACACACACAGAGTTTCTGTATCAGCGGTTTATAAATTAGCTCACACACTGAACTCAGGTTTAACCTCTGATTAGCTTAGCTTCATCTCGCTGAGTTTTAAGTTTCTCACCTTGTTTCCTCTGAATATCTTGCCATATCTGGCGATGACGATTTTTCCAGTGCAGTTTATTCCCATTTCCCTCTCCAGCTTGAAGAAATCCTCAGTCCTGCCGTAATTTACATACACCAGGTCTCCCTGAGAACAGCAAGCATAGAACAGTGCCCCTTAGGGGTCAACACTCTGATTCACAGCTTACAAAGTTTAATTAATCAATTCATTTATAAAGTACTAAATTAATCAATTGAAATAAAACAATGAATCTTTTTTTTCAAAAGTGTAGAGTCTTTTCTTATTGAAAATAAATGTAATATTTTAAATGTTTAATATCACTCTTCAGATATTAAAATTGTACAAATTATTTTATGAGTTTACAATGAAAGAAATGAAAAGTGATCATAATGAGTGTACAGTAGTACATGGTAGTGTAACTGTATGGTAGTGTCCAGTAGTGTGTGGTAGTGTGTGGTAGTGTATGGTAGTGTACGGTAGTGCACAGTAACCTGTGGTTGACCCTGGGCCGAGAAGGCATTGTACGGAGGAACGATATCAGTCACGTGCTCGTATCCCTCAGGAACTGGCTCAGAGAGGGAGGAGTTAAACACCTGCACCAGAACATTTATTCAAAACAAATATTAATTATCACATTCTCTCAAATGGAAAAGACAAGAACATTCAGCAAGATTGTATTCAGAGTAAGTTGGGTTATTTCTGATGATCAGTCAATAATTAAATGTTTACACAGCATGAGAATCAGCATGGAGTAATATATAAACAAAATAAACAAAAACTATTTAACCCCAATAACTTTTTTTACACATTTGAACCTCAATAAATTTTCTGACTGTTCAGTAAACAACTTACCCCCCCCAATCCCCCCATACTTTAACCCAAATATAATCAATCAGCTAAAATATGTTTGGTGTCTGAAATCTACTTCTTCGGTTTCAGCATCAGAGCTACAAGGCTAACATAGCTAACAAGCTAACAGGTAATGAAAGGTGGAGCTAAACTGCTGTAGCTGAATGGTGGAGCTAAACTGCTGTAGCTGAATGGTGGAGCTAAACTGCTGTAGCTGAATGGTGGGAGCTAAACTGCTGTAAGTTGAATGGGTGGAGCTAAACTGCTGTAGCTGAATGGTGGAGCTAAACTGCTGTAGACTGAATGGTGGAGCTAAACTGCTGTAGCTGAATGGTGGAGCTAAACTGCTGTAGACTGAATGGTGGAGCTAAACTGCTGTAGCTGAATGGTGGAGCTAAACTGCTGTAAGTTGAATGGTGGAGCTAAACTGCTGTAGCTGAATGGTGGAGCTAAACTGCTGTAGCTGAATGGTGGAGCTAAACTGCTGTAGCTGAATGGTGGAGCTAAACTGCTGTAGTTGAATGGTGGAGCTAAACTGCTGTAGCTGAATGGTGAAGCTAAACTGCTGTAGGCTGAATGGTGGGGCTAAACTGCTGTAGCTGAATGGTGGGGCTAAACTGCTGTAGGCTGAATGGTGGGGCTAAACTGCTGTAGCTGAATGGTGGAGCTAAACTGCTGTAGCTGAATGGTGGAGCTAAACTGCTGTAGCTGTATGGTGGAGCTAAACTGCTGTAGCTGAATGGTGGAGCTAAACTGCTGTAGCTGAATGGTGGAGCTAAACTGCTGTAAGTTGAATGGTGGAGCTAAACTGCTGTAAGTTGAATGGTGGAGCTAAACTGCTGTAGTTGAATGGTGGAGCTAAACTGCTGTAGCTGAATGGTGGAGCTAAACTGCTGTAAGTTGAATGGGTGGAGCTAAACTGCTGTAGACTGAATGGTGGAGCTAAACTGCTGTAGCTGAATGGTGGAGCTAAACTGCTGTAAGTTGAATGGGTGGAGCTAAACTGCTGTAGACTGAATGGTGGAGCTAAACTGCTGTAGACTGAATGGTGGAGCTAAACTGCTGTAGCTGAATGGTGGAGCTAAACTGCTGTAGCTGAATGGTGGAGCTAAACTGCTGTAGCTGAATGGTGGAGCTAAACTGCTGTAAGTTGAATGGGTGGAGCTAAACTGCTGTAGACTGAATGGTGGAGCTAAACTGCTGTGGCTGAATGGTGGAGCTAAACTGCTGTAGCTGAATGGTGGAGCTAAACTGCTGTAGCTGAATGGTGGAGCTAAACTGCTGTAGCTGAATGGTGGAGCTAAACTGCTGTAGCTGAATGGTGGAGCTAAACTGCTGTAGCTGAATGGTGGAGCTAAACTGCTGTAGCTGAATGGTGAAGCTAAACTGCTGTAGGCTGAATGGTGGGGCTAAACTGCTGTAGCTGAATGGTGGGGCTAAACTGCTGTAGGCTGAATGGTGGGGCTAAACTGCTGTAGCTGAATGGTGGAGCTAAACTGCTGTAGCTGAATGGTGGAGCTAAACTGCTGTAAGTTGAATGGTGGAGCTAAACTGCTGTAGCTGAATGGTGGAGCTAAACTGCTGTAGCTGTATGGTGGAGCTAAACTGCTGTAGCCGAATGGTGGAGCTAAACTGCTGTAGCTGAATGGTGGAGCTAAACTGCTGTAAGTTGAATGGTGGAGCTAAACTGCTGTAGACTGAATGGTGGAGCTAAACTGCTGTAGTTGAATGGTGGAGCTAAACTGCTGTAGCTGAATGGTGGAGCTAAACTGCTGTAGCTGAATGGTGGGGCTAAACTGCTGTAGACTGAATGGTGGAGCTAAACTGCTGTAAGTTGAATGGTGGAGCTAAACTGCTGTAGCTGAATGGTGGGGCTAAACTGCTGTAGACTGAATGGTGGAGCTAAACTGCTGTAAGTTGAATGGTGGAGCTAAACTGCTGTAGCTGAATGGTGGGGCTAAACTGCTGTAAGTTGAATGGTGGAGCTAAACTGCTGTAAGTTGAATGGTGGAGCTAAACTGCTGTAGGCTGAATGGTGGGGCTAAACTGCTGTAGCTGAATGGTGGGGCTAAACTGCTGTAGGTTGAATGGTGGAGCTAAACTGCTGTAGCTGAATGGTGGGGCTAAACTGCTGTAGCTGAATGGTGGGGCTAAACTGCTGTAGGCTGAATGGTGGGGCTAAACTGCTGTAGGCTGAATGGTGGGGCTAAACTGCTGTAGGCTGAATGGTGGGGCTAAACTGCTGTAGGCTGAATGGTGGAGCTAAACTGCTGTAGGCTGAATGGTGGAGCTAAACTGCTGTAGGCTGAATGGGCAGGGCAGAATGTGTGAGGCTTAACTGTAAGCTGTCAGATACATGTAAATATATATATGTTTTTATGACATCAGAAAAACACTGAATTCATTAGTTTAGTTTCTGTATATATATGGACAGTCTGTACTGGGGAGTGTTTTGAACAGTGTTACACACAGCAAACTATTTATTTATAAAAATGAGGAAAATGTATTTTTCTATTACAATTTTCTGTTTATGTTAATAAAAATATAAATGACAGTTAAACTGCCACTTTCACAATGAGGTTGTGAAACTAACGCTTCAGGCAGTTCATTACATTTTCCTGTGAGCTTTCAGCTTCTCTCTTATCCTAATCTGATCAAGTCTTGTGACACTGGTATGCGGCACTGAGCGCTGAGTGAACACATTCACTGGAACTGGAAAATGTGACAGACTCAAGCCATGAAAAACACACACAGCTGCAACACTAAATCACACCAGTCTCTCAGTATCTCTCTCTCTCTCTCTCTCTCTCTCTCTGTCTCCTTACACTAGCCCTTTATCCTCACAATGGGCCTACTTACGCCCTCAGCCCACAGCTAAAGCTAACTCCAGCCATTAAAAAATAACCCTACAATCACAAAATGCTAACACCGCTAACTGGGTGTCCAGACGTCCACCTCTATAAGTTCCCTCACAGAAAGTTACTACATGAAATGGTTATGAATTCACTGCCTGATGACTGAGACACTGTTTTATGATAGTTTAGAGAACTTAAACTCCATTCCTGGTGGAGGGATACATGCAGGGCACTGTGAGGCAAAATAGTCCCCAAAGAAAACGTATTATTTCAGATTTTCCACTATTTTCATCATCAACATTCTATATAAACTCAGAAGACTCGTGTAGGTTCACTGGTGGTTTTGGATAGTAAATATAATGTCTATATTGTGTTGTAGTCATGGCGATGTCTGGTTCCTATCAGAAGTCAGGCTAGTGTGAATAAAGCAGAAGAAGCTGTTGTGTGTTCAATAAAGGCTGTTAAACACTGTAATATTAAACTAAAGCTCAGCTTAGTGTAATAAAATAACAGCAGTGTCACTGACATCACACTGACCTGCACATCTATTCACACATCATTACTGTCATTACAGTCCAGACACGGTCATTACAGTCCCCACAGCGAGCCTCAGCCTCGCCGTTTAGCGATTAAGAGTTTAAGAGTTTAAGGTTCAAGAGTTTGTGGTGTTTCAGACAGACTGACACTGAATAACACACTGTTATCTACAAACATGGACTAAAGTACAGATGGGAGATTCTACTGGAGCTCCTCTCTGCTCTGTGAGCACGTTTTACAGACGTCCTTCATCCAAAAGGACAAATCATCAAACCTGTTACTTCATTCTAATTGATAAGATAAAGTTTGTTAAAGACAGCATGGTGTTTCTTTACTATCTATGGTTTTCTGACCTGTGATTGTGACTGATCTACCGGAGAATCTGCATGTGGTATAAAACCTCATGTACATACAGACAAAAATTAAAATAAAAAAAATCATGAAACACTATCAAAATTTAATAATAATTGTAGGTAATAAGTCAGACATCAATAAAAACAAACTTGCATGGTGAAATGTTCTTCAGATTGATGGAGAATGTGTTGTATATGGTTCTATATATGACCAAAAAGGGTTGTTCTGTTGCTAGCTTGACAACAGCAGAACCCTTTTTGGTGCTGTATAGAACCATATACAACACATTATCCATTGATCTGAAGAACCATCTCACCATGCAGAGAACCATTTAATCATGCAGATGGTCATTTGAGTGCTCATTGTTCTATATAGAAACATTGTCTCTACTTAAGAACCCTTGAAGAAGCATGTTTTTAAGAAAAAACAGCTCCAGTGTTCTGGAAAATGCTGAACTCGCCTTAGTTACTGATTAATAATGTAGTAATAATGGCCAGTTAATTACCAACTGCAAGCTTGTTAAGCATTAATAAGATCATTATAATGTCCTGTTACTAGTGCTACTAACTGTTTTGTTTGTTTTGTTTTTGTTGTTTTTCTTATTTCAGTGTTCTGCTGCATGGTGTGTGCTGTGCTCCTCCTGACGCCTGTTCTCCAGATTCCACACTGGTTCCGTGCCTGTGTGAAGGTTCTAAGCTGTTAACTGTAGCGCTGGAGTGAAGAGCGAGATGCTGTGTGTGGCTCAGAGGTGACGCTCTTCAGTCCATGTTTACAGATAACAGTGTGTTACCGTGTCAGACGGCTGTTAGAGGTGTCTGGACTGGTCAGCAGTACCTCGTCTCCATGCTGGTCCACTATGGAGATATAGTTGGGTCGGGTTCTGTTTGGATATGACAGCAGGACGTCGTACCAGACCAGCTCGGCCGAGTCCAGTCCAAATGCCAGCCACTCGTCTCGAATCTGCTCAGCCAGTCGCAGGTTCTGCTGCGTGCCGGCCAGGTGGGGCAGATGCGTGAACTTCCTGTTTGAAGGAGTGAGGAAAAGAAGTTGTGAGCAATGAAGAACGCTTAAAGAGTAGCTCCACCCTAAGACCTGTTTTTCATTAATAGTTGAAATGCTCTGCTCTGTAATAATAAATATACCAGCTTTGTTTAAAATGTGAACAACATCTTTCTGTAAAAATATCATTTTTATCATGGTCAGTTCTGCCTCTGCAGCGCCCCCTCTGGTTCAACTCTGCTATAGGCGCAGATGCCGTGTCTTCGTACCAAAGCACCATGACATGTCACAGTATGCAAATCAGTCAACCAACGTCACCACCCCCTGATGATGCCCTACTCGTGCTGCACTCAGAAATATGAAAGCACAGAAGCCAAGAGTGAGGAGATAACCACACTCATGCGCTGAGCTAAACACCCCCATGACCACCTCACAAGGCTGCGGTATGCCAGCTGTCTGTACCAACTGTAACCCAATTAATCTGAGCTTAGTTTGGAATAAAGATGTTGGACTGATTAAGTGAGGATTCTTCCGAGTCACCATAAAGCTGCTCGGGTTGCATCCGATTCATGTGAATTTGAGAGGGAACCGAATCAGATGTGACAATGGTAAGTGCCAAGAAAAGCTAGCAGAACATAAGGATTTAGGGCCACTGCAGCAAATCCTAGCTGACCGGTGATGCAGTCAGCAACCTTGATGTCAAACTGAATGAAACTTAGACAGAGTTCAAAGAAATCCACTTTATTCATTCGGAATTCAGAGCATCTAAGAAATCAGGACTAAAGTTATATTGAATATGGACCTGGAGATCATTAGAAGTGAGAGTCCCATTTTATATTGTGTTTCTAATAACTGTGTAGTTACACATAAATAACATATGCAACAACACTGTAACTACTGATGATTTACTCAAAGTCACAGCTGGATTACAGATGTACAGACTATGTAATTACATATGTGTATAGCTTCAGTTTTGCCTCATGTAATTACACAAGTGTATCTTCTACACAGGAACTTTCTTGTAGTGCAGTGTTAAAGTTACACTTTAAAATACTTGGACAGTTCCTGTGTAGTTGTTATGTAGGTACTGTGTAATAATGCAGTAGTAATATAGACGTTGCTTCGGAGGGAACGCAACACATTAAATTAATGTCATAAAAGTTACATGTTAATAAAGGGGTCGTCTGCTGTTCTGTCACATTACAGAATGGTTTAAGGCTGAAACTGGTCACAGTGTCACAGCACTAGCAACATAAATGCTAGGTAAATGTTAGGAAAGCTGGCAGATACAGTGTAAGTATTGCCTTAATGTAAGTTATTACATACTTCCTTTTACTGCTGGAAAAAAAAACTGCTGTTCCAGTCTGATTAAAAATGTAATTACATTTATGTTGTCTTCCTTGTGTAAATACATGAGAGAGAACAGGTTGTTACAACTATTAAGATACACTTGTGTAATTACATGAGGCAAAACTGAAGTTGATACACTTGTGTAAAATTACATAAGGTGTACTTCTGTAATCAATCTGTAACGGTAACTAAATCATTAGTAGTTACATATGTCATTCACGTGTAACTACACAGGTATTAGAGACACAATATAAAGTTAGACCGAAGCGAGCTGTCACGGTTTTAGGGAACGTTCTGTCATTCTGCCGCTCACTGCTAATCATTTTCTGGCACTACCTTAACTCTTTGGTGGCTTGTGTCAGCGGCTCATACTGTTTAGGCTCACACTGCCTGATCAGAAACACCTTCCCTCCCAGTTTCTCTCGCACCCAACCTCCAAACCCGAACATCACTGCAGTGCCCCTCCCAGCATGCCCTGCCCATTTTGAGCATTTTTCAAAGTTAAGCCAGGGGTGGAGTCAGCTGAACATAGTGGGGTGAAGTTACCCTTTAACAACCACACAAAACCACATACAATCCTCAAACATCTGGAATCAACAACAGCAAACATCTGCTTATGGTCTACGAGGTGTTTACATTTCACACCATTTTAATTTTATTAGAACTTCATTCTGGACGTTAATTTTATTAGAACTTAATTCTGGATATTATTTTTATTATAACTTAATTCTGGACATTAATTTTATTAGAACTTCTTTCTAGACGTTAAATATTATAGAACTTCGTTCTGCATGTTCTACTTTTTTCTCAGTTTGATGTTCTGCTGATGATCTGAAATCTGTCAAGTTTCAAACAACAGATTAAACAATATTTACTCAAAGCATGAAGCTCAGGTGTGTTGTGACAAGTGTGTTACGGACAGGTGTGTTATGGACAGATGTGTTATAGAGAGGTGTGTTATAGACAGGTGTGTTATGGACAGATGTGTTATAGACAGGTGTGTTATGGACAGATGTGTTATAGAGAGGTGCATTATAGACAGGTGTGTTATGGACAGATGTGTTATAGACAGGTGTGTTATGGACAGGTGTGTTATGGACAGGTCTGTCATGGACAGATGTTATGGACAGGACTGTTATGGACAGGAATGTTATGGACAGGTGTGTTATGGACAAATGTGCTATGGACAGGAGTGTTATGGACAGGACTGTTATGGACAGGTGTGTTATGGACAGGTGTGTTATGGACAGATCTGTCATGGACAGGTGCATTATGGACAGATCTGTCATGGACAGGTGTATTATGGACAGATCTGTCAGGGACAGGAGTGTTATGGACAGGTGTGTTGTGGACAGATGTGTTATAGACAAGTCTGTAATGGACAGGTGTATTATGGACAGGTGTTCATGTACCTGAGATGCTGTTTGATGTTCTCTGCATGTATTTCATCCAGGAACTCCTGCAGGTGATCTGGTTTCTCATGATGTTCTGTGACGGGCCTCGCAAACCAGCCTGGAGTAGAAACATTATGTTACAGATGTGGAGCAATCCTGCAGTAAAGATCAGCACCAGCTCAGAAACTCCTTGCTGAGAGATCAGACACTTTAGAACATTTACATATTATTTACATAAACCGTTAGGACTTCCAGAGAGAGTCACTCTCTGACTACAACACATCAACGTTTAAACTACATTAATTCAGTAAAATCACTGTATGTGTGTGTATGTGTGTTATAGTGTGTGTGTGTTAGAGTGTCTGTGTGTGTGTGTGTTATAGTGTGTCTGTTACAGTTGATGTTTCAGGAGATCTGGAGGAGATCAGATATAAGATAATCCTTGTGTAATGAAGGATAAAATCAAAGTGAAAAAACAGGAGTTTCCAAAACTGGAGTTCAAAAACTGATTCAAAGCTCCAGAGAAAATGTGCCTCCTAACAACCAACTGGAAGACCTGTCAGACCCCAAAACTGCCCCCGTCAGATAAACGGCACTTAAAGAACCTGAACCTGTTTAGTCTTGATAAAATGTCTGTTGAAGGGCAAAATGTTGTATTGACCTTTTAGTGCATGCTACACTTTCCCACCTGCAAAGATTGACCTACAATCCTGGAACAATTTTGCATCAGTCTAAGCAATCTAGTCCTTAAATGTCCAGGGTCCACCGGTGGGCCCAAAGTTTAATTACACACATCTACAATCTAAGAACAGCTCAGCTAGTTTGTACTGAGGTCCCTGTAGTTACTGGATAATAAGGCTTAGTGTGTAACAAGGCTGAGATTTTAAGGGGCTAATTTCACCGAAAGACAACTATACGACTACAGTACATTACACTGTAGAGTAAAACACACATAAAATCTGATTACTGGCCCCCAAAGGTCTGAACCTGCGAAGAAAATTTATCCACTGCTGTAAGTTACTGCAGACAGTCAGTGTGACTATTTTGTGAGTATTGTATTTATAAGTACACCAAGATATTTGTAGGTCAAAACCTGCTGAATTTCCTGATTATAAATTACTAAAGGAGGTGGATATGAATCAGGAGACACACAACAAAAAAGACCTTCTCTGTCTTCTTTGTGTTGATAATAAGAGCATTCAGTTGACACCATATACCAACCCAGTGACACCCTGCTGAAACAGATCATCATTATCCGTCAACAGAGCTAATAACTTAGAATCATCAGAATATTTAAAAATGATTCGGTTCCTGAGCTTCACAGTCATTCATATACAATATAAACAGAAATGGAGAACATCCTTGTGATGCTCCAACATCAGTTATAATAGGCAGTGATAGTGCTGCACTCTATTAATGAGGAAATTCCTTTACCAGTAAATAAGTATTAATATCTAACTGAACCATTTCTGACAGTACAATATCAGGCCAAACGGTGTTAGACGCTGATGAGAAATCCAGAAAAAGCGTTCAAGCAAATGTAAGAGGCTTGTCTAAGTGTTTTAACACAAAATGGACCAGCGTAGCTACTGTATCCTCAGTGCTAACTTTGCTAAGTGCAAACTGATATAACTGAAGCGTAATTCATTGTTATATAGTACTAATTCAGTAATATTAGAAGCAAAGGTAGTAACTATATATGAGTGAAAGTGTGAAGACTAACACAGAACTGAATTCAGATCTGGATAACTCTGCAGACGATGACTGTTTGGCTGAATTTGGCCTGTTGGCCCCCCCAGAAGGTTACCCTAACCCCCTCCAGTCACTGACAGAACATGGTGGTGGGTGGGCTGCCGGACCAGCCAGACCTGCTGAGCTGGATCACCTGGAGTCCCAGATTCTGGTCCACTGGCTGTAGTTTAGTAATATTAGTGTAACAAATAAGATCTTGAGTCAAATCCAGAGTTAAAGGAACTGGTGTAACACTGAGAGTCTCTTACTGCAGCACATAAAACCCTGAAGACGTAACAGTGGAGCCCAGTGGAGACCCCTACCAGTAGAGACCCCCCAGCGAGGTTATATAGATGTGTAAAAGTGCTGTAAAGCTGTAAAGCAGGTCAGAATGCTCTCCTCCTCCGTCTGCCCTCCTCTGTCTCTGCACTGCTGTGCATTTTTGGCCCAAAACAAACACTGAACTTCAGCCCCTCAGCACCAAAAGTTTAGGCAACCCGTAAACACTTCACATACACACACACACACACAAACAAGTGTATGAACGTACCGATGATGAAGCCGATGAAGAAGAAGAGTGTGAACACGGTGATCCACTTTAGCAACCGAACGAGTGTGTTCTCAGAGCCCATCCCCCCACACACACACCACACCACACACACACACCACACTGACCACAGGGGCACAGTAGAGCCTGAGAATAGAGGGAGGGGGAGGAGTTAAATAGGAGGAGGAGACTTTACACTGAACTTTATCAGTTAGTTTACAGTCAGTAGGTGAACCACAGTAAAGACGCAATGGAGAGAGAGAGAGAGGGAGAGAGAGGGACAGACAGACAGACAGAGAGAGACAGACAGAGAGAGACAGAGAGAGAGAAAGAGAGACAGCGAGAGAGAGACAGACAGACAGACAGAAAGAGAGAGAGAGAGAGAGAGAGAGAGAGACAGACAGAGAGAGAGTGAGAGAGAGAGATAGACAGAGAGAGACAGAGAGAGCACATCTTCAGTTATGTAATTAATATTTCTAATTCCTGATGTTCAAAATGTATTACATTTTTCAAATGTACCTTGTTTTATTTTATTATTATTAATAGTAGTAATGGTAGTATTTTATTTTATTTTATTTTATTTTTATTTTATTGCTTTTGGCATGTCCCTATTTAGTCTATGCCTATATGTATTACCATATTTATATTTCAGATTTTATAGTTTGTTTAAACTACTTATCCATATGCACTTTTATTTAATTAATTTTATTATTATTATTGTTATTATTATTATTATTATTATTATTATTATTATTTCCTATTCATTTATATTTTAATAATAATTAAATTTAACTTGTATTTGCAGCTTTGGCAACATAGGTCTTATATCCTATCATGCCAATAAAGCATATATAGAGAGAGAGAGACAGAGAGAGAGAAAGAGAGGCGGGGTTAAAGGGAGAGGAGTTAAAGAAGAGGAGGAGACTTTACATTGAACTTTATCAGTCAGTTTATAGTCAGTAGGAGAACGACAGTAAAGATGCAATGGAGAGAGAGAGAGAGAGGAAGAGAGAGAGACAGACAGAGAGAGATAGACGGACAGACAGAGAGAGACACAGAAACAGAGAGACAGAGACAGAGAGAGAGAGAGACAGAGAGAGAGAGAGCGACAGACAGAGAGAGAGAGACAGACACAGAGAGAGAGACATAAATCAAAGAGAAAATCTCTAACACTGACTTACTGCAGATGTTTGTTTAATTCTTGCTTATTTACTGACTAATCATCATTTAGAGGATGACCAACACAAACTGTGCAGCAGCAGATGAGCTATCAACTCTGACTTTACATCTACAAGGTGGACTGACAAGGTAGGAGTGTCTAATAGAGTGGACAGTGAGTGGACACTGTTTAAACTCCAGTTATGCATTATGGGCCTTTTCTGCCAGTGTGTTCCAAAGAGCCCTTCTCACTGCAGAATTACGGCCGTCTGTGTTTTATTCTCTGCTGACATCACAGTCAGTGAACGTAAATATCATACACTATACTGCCAAAAGTATTCGCTCGTCTGCCTTCACACACATATGAACTTAAGTGACAACCCATTCTTAATCCATATGGTTTAATATTATGTCTGCCCACCCTTTGCAGCTATAACAGCTTCAACTCCTCTGGGAAGGCTCTCCACAAGGGTTAGGAGTGTGTTTATGGGAATTTTTGACCTTCTTCCAGAAGTGCATTTGTGAGGTCAGACACTGATGTTGGACGAGAAGGCCTGGCTCGCAGTCTCCGCTCTAATTCATCCCAAAGGTGTTCTAACAGGTTGAGGTCAGGACAACCCCACACCATAATCCCCCTCCACCAAACTTTACACTTGGCACAATGCAGTCAGACAAGTACCGTTCTCCTGGCAACCGCCAAACCCAGACTCATCTATTGGATAGCCAGACGGAGAAGCGTGATTCGTCACTCCAGAGAACACGTCTTTACTGCTCTAGAGTCCAGTGGCGGCGTTTTACACCACTGCATTCGACACTTTGCATTGTGCTTGGTGATGTAAGGCTTGGATGCAGCTGCTTGGCCATGGAAACCCATTCCATGAAGCTCTTTACGCTGTTCTTAAGCTAATCTGAAGGCCACATGAAGTTTGGAGGTCTGTAGTGATTGACTCTGCAGAAAGTTGGCGACCTCTGCGCACTATGTGCCTCAGCATCCGTTGACCCCGTTCTGTCATTTTACAGAGTTGCTGTCGTTCCCAATCACTTCCACTTTGTTATAATACCACTGACAGTTGACTGTGGAATATTTAGTAGTGAGGAAATTTCATGACTGGACTTGTTGCACAGGTGGCATCCTATCACGGTACCACACTGGAATTCACTGAGCTCCTGAGAGCGACCCATGCTTTCACAATGTTTGTAGAAGCAGTCTGCATGCCTAGGTGCTTGGTTTTATACACCTCTGGCCATGGAAGTGATTGGAACACCTGAATTCAATGATTTGGATGGGCGAGTGAATCCTTTTGAAAATGTAGTGTATATACAGTTATAAAAATACACGTCATGTCCTTTTTAATAAGATTTTTAAAAAATGTTCAATTTTTTTAATATATAGTGTGAAATTTCAGGATTTTTGTGTGCAGTTACAGGTTGTGTTGAAATGACAGTTTAATGCATTGATTGACAAATTTGAAAGCTTTTATTTAGTCAAATAACTTTTTTATGTAGTGTTTTGTTGTAGTTTGGCTGAATATCACATAATCTGACAGCATATCTGGTTTAGCTGAAGTTTATCAGGTAGAGTCGTGCTTGTTTTGTCAGATCAAACAGGTTTAGTTAAACACACAGATTCTGAAGTTACTGATTTGGCCAAACCTGAGTTAAACAGAGACTAACCTGCTGCTAAGCTAATGACACAGTAACAACCCCAAAATGTTTAAATCTGTTTAGTTTTACATACATGAAACCACATAAACATGTTTCATGGGGAAACAAAGGTCTAGGAACTCTGGAAAATGTACAATATTATGATATTAAATGCAGATAAAGTTTTCTCAATAGGCCAATCAGGACAGAGCTCATTAATATTAATGAGCTTGAAAGGCACAGTAACAAAGACGCTTGTAAACAAAGGCATAGACTGATTTTATCAGATGAAGTCACATAAACACATGTAATGGACAGAATAAAACACAAGAGAAGAGAAGAGAAAGTTACTAATTTATTTCTGATGCTGTAAGTCTCTGTCTGACCGTCTGCTGAGCTTCAGGATCCACACCAGTGTGTTGGTGGTATAGTGGTTGGGGTTAGCTGTCATCAAAGCAGCTGACCTGGGTTTGAATCCTACAGCATCTACTGTGGTATGTATTGTATAACTGTACCATTCACTCCTACAGCATCTACAGTGGTATGTATTGTATAACTGTATCATTCACTCCAATATCACTGTAACATTACCTGTGGGTTGATCAGTGCAGGATTAGTGCAGTACCTGGATCAGCCACTAGAGTGTGTTTATTCAGTTAGTGAGTTTGTATGGAATGCAGTAGATGGTTCTGTCTGGATTGTGGGGCTTTTCTCCTCCAGATGTTCTGCAGCATTGGTGCTCTAGTGGTTAGCATAGCTGCCTTCCAAGCAGTTGACCCAGGGTTCGATTCCCTGGCCAACGCAGCTCTTTTAAATCTATAAAATAAACACCAACAAAAACTCTACACCTCTGGCACCTTCCTTGAACAAAGTTCAGTTCATCTTTTTAAAAGTAATAAAGTGCCTGTTTTTTTATTTCTGTACAATTCGAGGATCTTAACACTAACCTTTAACTTAAAAATATTAGCATAACATGGTCAAAAAAACACATAAAATGTCCATACATGCTGTCAGGCTAACCACAATGGACAGAATAAAACACTAAAAAAGAGTAAAGACAGTTACTAACTAAATTCCGATGCTGTAAGTCTATCTGACCGTCTGCTGAGCTTCAGGACCCACACCAGTGTGTTAGTGGTAAAGTGGTTAGCATAGCTATCGTCAAAGCATCCGACCTGGGTTTGATTTCTGGCTAATGCAGCTCCTTTATTTCTATACCAATAAAAATCTACAAATCTATATTGAAACATTATAGCATTCACTCATACACCATCTAATGCAGTATGTGTTTTTGGAAGGTGTGTGTGTTGGGGGGTGAAATGCTACCTGAATCTTGACTTTATTTTGACATAATCAGTGGATCATACAGAGCAGGGGGTCTCAACCTCTGAGCCAAGGACCTCCATGGGCGTGTGAAGCAAGAATTGAGGAATCAAAGTTTTTAAATTCTAATCAATATTAATATTAATAGAGATGTACAAATAAAAATGTCATCATATTAGTCCAATATAACGCTTTAAGACAACACAGCTGCAGGTGCTCGATGCAGGCAGTTAGCCAGAGTTGGAGAAGTTTCTCAGGGCACTTTCACACCTGCAGTGTTTAGTGAGGACTTATTACACTTTTAGTTTAGTTCACTCCATTTTCACAGGTGTGAACACTCCACCTGTACTCAGGTCTGCAACAAACAGCTGAACCAGTCTGGGAAAAATGTGTGTCTCTGTCCACGTCTGAGTGAATGTTGGTTTAGTTCACTGATGGTGGTAAGTCATTCTATAATGGAATGATGAAATTAATCAATGGGCCCTTTTCACAAGATTCGTGATTACTTCTGGTTTAAGCAGTAGAATCAGAATCAGAATACTTTATTGATCCCAGAGGGAAATTGCAGTTATTACAGTTGCAACCATTTATGTAAAAGAATAAACAGTCTCATAATAATTTTAAACAAAAAAGAGAAATTTGCAATATATATATATGTTTAAATTCTTATGAATACAGAAAAGTGGCAGTGGCTGTGATAATAAATATAAAAAAACATATTGTATAAAGCAGTTCAAATTATTGAGTTATTGCACACATAATGTAATTGTTTTTTTATTTTAATTATTATTATTATTATTGCACGGGTAAAACTCACTTCCTCTCCATATAACTGCTGCAGAAGTGATGACAAAATGTTATAGTAGTGAACTATAATGCTCAAATACTGAGCTACAACAGACATATGTTAGTTTTCCTGCACTGTTGTGACAAACAGTGAGAATAAGGGACGGAAGCATCGATTTAACTTTAAACAGAGCTAAAATGTTGTATTTGTGGGTTAGCCTTGTTTTTACTGCAGCTTCTCACATCAAGCAGTCTCTGTGTCTTTGTACAACATGCCAGCAGTTTCTGTAATATTCTCTTCAAAAGAGAGAAGAACTTTATATGTAGTATGAATTTTATAGACTCTCTTTATATTAAGCTAGCTATGCTGGCTAGAAGCTATTGCTAACCAAACTAGATTGCCTGGCTAACATAAAGCAGCTTTCTGCTTTTTCAAATGTCACAGCAGAACCGTGATGCTAACATTAAAAGTTAGCTAGGAGCCACGTTTTTGATTGAGCAGTTAAAGGTGGATGTTTTCCGAAGTACTGCTTCAAACTCAGTTCCTCAAACTGATAATGGCAGGCTAGCTAATTAGCAACTGTAGCCTGCTAGCCTACCCTAAGTTTAAATGAGGTCTGTCAAACAGACTTTACATATAAAAGTTTTGACTTAAGTAAAACACCTTCCAGTACTTCCTCCTGTTATGGGCAAATGATCCAGTCCAAACCAGTTTACAGTGGAAGTGAAACCTTCAGCAGCTTCTGTTTAGTGAAGAGAAGATCATAAACAGAGAGAGAAAAGCTCAGAGGTAATTACTGAAGATCAACGCACAGAATTTACTTTCTGACTTGATGATTAAAGACATTTCAGACACAGAGAGAGCAGAACATCACTGTGGAACTCAGAGACAGAACTATATTTCAGAGAACAGCTTTCAGATTAACATGTAGACTTCACTACTTCTGTGTGTGTGTTTACAGGATTAGGTCTAATCTGAAGGTGGAGCCATGACCTCCAAAATAAGCTTCTCTGAGAACTCACAGAAAGCTGAGAGGTGAGAGAATCATGGGATTTGGGGTAAAGACTGTATGTTCTCATCTACACCAACATGCAGGAATGTTTGTAGATCATGTCTGATATTGGTTGTGTTCTAGACTGGTTCAGGGTCGGAGATCTGACTCATCTGAACCCAGCTGTGTGTCCATGAAGAGTGACTGGTCAATGTGTGTGTGTGTGTGTGTGTGTGTGTGTGATTGTGTTGCATGAATTACATGTGTATCATTTGTAGAAAGACAACAAATATTTGTAAATTGAGTTTTCAGTGTAATTGTTGTCTCAGTTTAGAGCAGTTTTGTTATTTCAGAAAAAAACTGTTGTTTACTTTTATTTTGTATCAGAGATTTGGGTAAAATCTGGTTTAACTGGTGGTAATAAGCAGTGATTCTGGGTTTCTCATATCATTTGAGACAATATGAATCATAATTTAACTTTCCACCATAAATGGGGCTCTAAAAGTGTTTCATGCTAAAAATAAATTGCATAAGATAAAAATTGATACTTCTAACTATCATGCTGTTTACTCAATAAAAACAACAATAACAAGATAAACAACAACAATAATAATAATCATAATAATCATAACAATAATAATATCTGTAGCTTTGTCTCCTTAATCAGGAGCTGGAGCACAAAGTCATCTCTCTGGTGAAGAAACAGCTGAAGAGGTTTGTGAAGCTACTGAGTGTGGATTACCCAGCATGCTCTGAGAGAGAGGTGGAGGATGGGGAGGATCAGAGCAGTGTTAGAGAGGGGGCGCTGAAGATCACACTGACCGTCCTGAAGAACATGAACCAGACTGACCTCGCTAACACACTACTGACCAGTAAGACATCAGGCTCATGTGATTATTCATCATATTAATTAATATTAAGAGTTTAAATGATCAGCATAATGTAATATTAATAATACTCATCACAGAACTATAAGGTTTCGCTGTTTTGTGTGATATTACTATAATGTGTCACAGTGTGTTTGTATCAATGCTGAAACTAAGTGTTCATATTTCAATTGTCTTGTTATTGTTATTGCTTCCTATTTTTTATCAGAACTGCCTCCTCCTTGTCATCGAAAGCTGAAATCAACACTGAAGGAAAAATTCCAGAAAATTAATGAAGGAATCTCAAATTCTGGAACCTCAACACTTCTGAATGAGATCTACACAGAGCTCTATGTCACAGAGGGAGGGAGTGGAGAGGTCAATAATGAACATGAAGTTAGACAGATTGAAACAGCATCCAGAAGACCAGCAACACAGGAGAAACCCATCAAATGTAATGACCTCTTTAAAGATAATTCCATCAGAGCTGTGCTGACTAAAGGAGTTGCTGGAATTGGAAAAACAGTCTCTGTGCAGAAGTTCATTCTGGACTGGGCTGAAGGAAAAGCAAATCAGGACGTCCTCTTCATATTTCCACTTCCTTTTAGAGAGCTGAACTTGATGAAGGAGAAAAAACTCAGTCTGGTGGATCTGCTTCATATTTTTTTTTCTCAGACACAAAAGAACTAAAACCAACAGACTATCATCACTACAAAGTCCTGTTCATCTTTGATGGTCTGGATGAGTGTCGACTTCCTCTAGATTTCCAGAACAATGAGAGCTTATTTGATGTAACACAGTCAGCCTCAGTGGATGTGCTGCTGACAAACCTCATCAAGAGGGAATCTGCTTCCCTCTGCTCTCCTCTGGATAACTACTCGCCCAACAGCAGCCAACCAGTCAGATCCCTCCTGAGTGTGTTGACCAGGTAACAGAGGTACGAGGGTTCAGTGTCCCTCAGAAAGAGGAGTACTTCAGGAAGAGAATCAGTGACCAGAGCCTGGCCAATAAAATCATCTCTCACATGAAGTCCTCAAGAAGCTTCTACATCATGTGCCACATCCCAGTCTTCTGCTGGATTGCAGCCACTGTTCTAGAGAGAGTGTTGGGTGGAGCAGAGAGTGGAGAGACCCCCAAGACTCTGACTCAAATGTTCACCCACTTCCTGATCTTTCAGATCAAACACAAGAACCAAAAGTACCATAGGAAATGTGACAGTGATCCTCAGCAGACTAGTCAGCTGTGGCGTTTGTGTTGCTGAACTCAGAAGAGGAGCTGGATGAGTTTGACCTGAGGAATAATATGATCCATCAGAGGAATGTCTTCTGAGGCTGCTGCCAGTGGTCAAAGCATCCAGAAGTATTTTCAGTCATAAATATTATAATGTACTTTATTTAATGTAATCAGGGTTAGTGCAGTCTACTTTTAGATATTGGTATTTTTCCCACCTTCTTACATGACATTTTTCTGTTACTGTAATTTAATAAATGTACATTTTCCTTGATTGTCATTTAATAATTGTACATTTCATTCAAGCTATGAATTTCTATAGTTAAATATTAAAATGCTCATAATCTAACAGCCAACATATATTTCATTTAATATGAGCGCTTGGCTCTACTTGTTAAGTCCTAAACATAATAATATTTCATGCCCTAAGATACAGAGTGTACTCAAACTCTCATACAGCAACAGTAGATGTCAGCAGTGTTTATGTCCATGTTGGTCATTAAAATGGATCAGCAAGTGGAACTGAAGTTTTCTGTGTGTTACTGTGTTTCCATTAATGTGTAAAGGAATCTTAATGCAGCCTTTATTAGTGGATGAACTGAGATTTGTTTTGAGTGAGTGCGCACACATTAAGAGTTACAATCTTTTTCTCTGGCTTCAGCTCTGAAATCAAACTCCACCCACCTAAGAGAACTGGATCTGACTTAAAATCACCCAGGAGAGTCTGGAGTGAAGCTGCTCTCTAATCTATTACAGGAGATCCACATTGCACACTGGAGAAACTACAGTGAGTTACTTACTTAATATTTCTATACACAGACTGACTGCTGTTGTGCATTCATGTGTGCATGTATCTATAAATATATATACACAGTATCTCACAAAAGTGAGTACACCCCTCACATTTAAATATTTTATTGTATCTTTTCATGGGACAACACTATAGAAATGAAACTTGAATATAACTTAAAGTAGTCAGTGTACAGCTTGTATAGCAGTAGAGACTTCCTGTCCTCTGAAAAGAACTCAACAGCCATTAATGTCTAAATAGCTGGCAACACAGTTAAGTACACCTCACAGTGAACATGTCCAAATTGTGCCCAATTGTGTTGTTGTCCCTCCCTGGTGTCATGTGACTCGTTAGAGTTACAAGGTTCTAGGTGTGAATGGGCAGCAGGGCTGTTAAATTTGATGTTTTGGGTAAAATTTGCTCATACTGGCCACTGGATATTCAACATGGCACCTCATGGCAAAGAACTCTCTGAGGATGTGAGAAATAAAGTTGTTGCTCTCCACAAAGATGGCCTAGTCTATAAGAAGATTGCTAACACCCTGATACTGAGCTATAGCATGGTGGCCAAGGTCATACAGTGGTTTTCCAGGACAGGTTCCACTCAGAACAGGCCTTGCCAGTGTCGACCAAAGAAGTTGAGTCCATGTGTTCAGCATCATATCCGGAGGTGGGCTTCAAAAAATAGGTGCATGAGTGCTGCCAGCATTGCTGCAAAGTCCTCAGACCATATGCCGCACAATGCATCAACTCGGTCTGCATGGCCCTTGTCCCAGAAGGAAGCCTCTTCTGAAGCTGATGCACAAGAAAGCCCGGAAACAGTTTGTTGAAGACAAGCAGTCCAAGAATATGGAATACTGGAACTATGTCCTGTGGTCTGACGAGACCAAGATAAACTTGTTTGGCTCAGATGGTGTCCAGCATGTGTGGTGGCTCCCTGGTGAGGAGTACCAAGACTCTTGCCTACAGTCAAGCGTGGTGGTGGTAGCATCATGGTCTGGAGCTGCATGAGTGCTGCCGGCACTGGGGAGCTGCGGTTCATTGAGGGAAACATGAATTCCAACATGTGCTGTGACATTCTGAAGCAGAGCATGACCCCCTCCCTTCGGAAACTGCGCTGCATGGCAGTTTTCCAACTCAATAACGACCCCACACAAAACATTGACACTCTGAGCACAATTTGGACATGTTCACTGTGAGGTATACTCACGTGTGTTGCCAGCTATTTAGACATTAATGGCTGTGTGTTGAGTTACTTTCAGAGGACTTTCAATCTATACTGCTATACAAGCTGTACACTGACTACTTTAAGTTATACCCAAGTTTCATTTCTATAGTGTTGTCCCATGAAAAGATATAATAAAATATTTGCAGAAATGTGAGGGGTGTACTCACTTTTGTGAGATACTATAAACTATAATATATATAATATATATATATATATATATATATAAATATATATACATATGCATATAATATAATATGCATATATATATATATGTATATATGTATGTATGTATAATATACATATATATGTATGTGTACATTACTGACTGTAATGTGTGTGTCTTCATGGTGAGGACTGTTGTTCCTCTGAACATGACCAGCATTAGGACACTGAGCTCCAGTGCTCGGTAGTTTTGGAGGAGACCACCCATAATGGTGTTAGCTGCAGTAGCTGCTCAATTTATGCTACAAGCCTAATTAGCTTTATTAGTGATCAATCTAATGTCAACATTAGTTAAAGTTGTTGTTTTTCCTGCTCATAACACATACAGTCAACAAGTTCACTGTTAACTAACACAGTGATGGTAAAGTAACGTAATATAATTAATAAATCAGCAGAAACATCAGGCTGTATTATATCATTGAGGACCGAGAACCAAGAGAATTTAAATACAACAAAAACAATAATAATAATCATCATCATAATAATCATAATAATAAATAATCACTAGAACACTGAATTTACCTGAAGAAAATACAGTGTGATTGTGCAGCTGAAGCTTGTTACTAGGTGGTTGCTTAAGGGTTGCCATGTGGTTGGGTGTTGTTGGAGGAATGAGGGGTGAAAAATTGACAGATAGAGGAGCGCAGGTCAGTATAACTGTGGATTAGAGCTTGCCCTGGTTGAGAACATGCAGTCTGGTGGCCGTCAGTCAAAGGAAGGTATAGGGCTTATTTGTGGGCCAAACTTAAATGTACGTAAAAGGGAGGAACGAGGGATGAGAATACAATAAAAAAGTCAGAACAACATTGAATTTGTGCTCAGGGGGCAGCCCTGAGATAGTATATGTGAACTGTGTCTTTCGCTTGAGCAGAAGGACAGTAGCTGGACATGAAATCCCATTCATTCCTAAGGAAAAAAATCATAATTTAAGATTGTATGAAAACTGTATGATCAAAAAGCTGTATAACCACACCATTCCTGATCAGACTGAATATTGCAGAGATAGACTGGTTTCGATATTTTGAAAACGGCGGGATGAGTTAGACAACAAATATCTAGTAGAGAAAAAGAAAGAATAATAATAAGCAGAAGAATATAAATGGGATAACAATAGTGTTGAGCATTATTATATCACTACTACTAATAATAATAACATTAAGAATAATAATAATGTGTTTTATAATAATAATAAAATTAATACATTTTATAAATAATATTAAATATATGAATCAAATAAATGAATGCTAATATTTGTCTGAAAGCAATCAAATAAAGATAGTAAAATGCTATTTTTGAAAGATATTTCTATTTTTAATGAAAACCAAATAATTTTTGTTAAGTGACATTAACTTAAATGTAATTAATAGTAACCTTTATTTTAACCTAAAAATATATTTCATAACAACATGTTTAATTTAAAGTGGTAAATGTAAATAACTGTGTTCTCCAGCCTGTAGAGCTGCTGATGGTGTAAAACATTCTCTACATCTGTAAGATCACAGCCATACTACAGTTTTACAGTTTGATCATTTCAGGGTTAAACACCTCCAGCCTGACAGACACATCTGAGTGTAAATGCTGAGTTTACCTTATTACAGAACGACTGAACTGAGCTGAATATTAACTTAATTGGCTTAACTAAAAGTGACACACACCAGAAGTTGATCTGAACTGTTTCTTAGCTTTGAACTATAAATATTGATTTTGTTATTAATTTATTATAAATTAAATGTATAAATATTATTTTGAATTGTTTTGTTCATTGTATTTATTTGAGTTAGATATTTAACTTATTTAAACTAATTTCATGTTAATAAATTTTGACAAAATGTTAATATATTCTTCTTGCATTGAATATGAACTTTGTCATGTTCAAATGATTTCTGTACGTTTTGTGTAGATTTTCTATAATGTTTATAATGTTTTAGTCCATTATGTTATCAAAATGGACAAATTTCATTACCTTCAAGCTTTTACTTGAGTAGGAGCAGTTTTGATTCATATAAAAAGTATAGATTAACATGCCTATGTGTCTGAAAAAGATGTATTTAATTATACACATGGTAAGAATAAACAATAAAACAGTAAAGAGTGAAAACATTACAGAATAATCCAGAAAGTCTCCATACTTTATGAGGAATAACATGTTCTATTTCCTGTAGTTATGAATAAACTTTATATCTTTTGTTTAAGATGTTTAACTTATTTAGATTATATCCATTATAATGATTTTATGTAGTAAATTTTGTGACAAAAGTTTCAAATACAGTAATGAAATATTAAATATCAAAAGGGTAAAAAATAACAAAAAAAAGGAGTTAAGGCAAACTCAGTTTTGAAGTGTTACTAATTATTTTCACTCATTTTCATGTACATGTTTAATGTAGTTTTGCTAGTTTTGTCTGATATATATTATGCTTTGTTGATATTTTTGCTTCTGAAATCCCTCTTTTGAATCTGAAATCTTTGTTTTATTCATGAATTTTGGCACATTTTATAAGGGATGGGTTTCAGAAAAGGGCGTTCACCTGCACAGTTTACTAGACAAATGATTTGGAGTGACAGGTCTTCTGACATGTAGCCACGTCTACTATATGTCTCGTGTACTGCTCCAACATGGCGTTGTATTGAGTGCAGCGTTGAACTGGAGTATTACTTTAAAATGATTAATGAAACACATATTTAGGGTTTTGTTTTGTTTGTGTAAAATTATATTATTGTTATTATATTATGTTGTTGAATGAAGCTGTACTAACATTCAGGTTTGCAGTTTTGCTAATAAGCCTAGCAGTGTCATCTATAGAAAACTAGCCTATCAA